CTGTCACATGTCCCATTACTGTTATTACCTTTTTAACCATATACCCCTCGGAGTTACTAAAGTCTGCCATAAAGTGATTGTAGTCACTATAATCTAGCTGGCTGTGAACATGTGTAGTCATCCTTAAAGCTCAAGCCAGAGTTCTATAATAATGTTTGTTATTTTCTTATTAAGTTTGGCTAATTTGAGGGTATGTTAACTTCCTTTCTGTCTAATTGTAGCTTCTTTAAACTTGACTGTACTGCCAGAGGAAGGAATTAATTAACTATCTGGACTGTGTATTGTAAACATCCTCAGTTTACAGAACAACTTCCTGGTTCAACTTTGACCCACAGCGCTGAGTAGTTTATTGTACAAAGTTTACAATCAAATGAGGGTCTTTTATTCCCATTATTGCTGCTTTTAGTCTTTTATTTTACATTCTTGATAATAACTTGCTTGTTAAACCTTGTGTGATGATCTAATATTTTGTGCTTAGTTGGCCAAGTGTCTGTTTTTGCTGATCTCAGCAGTTAATTTGAATCAAATCAGTGATCGTAATCCACAAAGACAATGGCCACGTTAGACCCCTAAGCCCAATTACTTTTTAATAAAGGCTACGTTTTTGTTCGGACTATCAGTTTATCAGCAGCCATTGGCGTTATTGGTTCCATTCAGTGAAGTTATGTAACATCCATTTAAATATTAATGATGTAGTTATGTAAGTGGTAAATGTTTTGTCCAAAGATGTGAGTAACAGGAAACTTCACATGATAGAGACCATAACCGTCTCAAATCAAGTGTTTCATCAGACTGTATCACTTACTGTATGTCATTAAGCTCAAACACTCAAGCGCTGATGAGCTTCTTCTTCTTCTTCTAACAGCTTTCTGCTTCATTAACATTTCATTGCTGATTTTCATCTGATCCTCTTCGTAATGCATCCCCAGACTGCAGAGAGCATTCAGACGGATCAATACCAGCGAGCGTGGCTGAGAGCTGTTGTTGGACGCAGGTCTGTAAACGACACCATAATCACCCTGGTCCCATGCGTTTCGCCCACAGGATGTAGAAACAGGATGAGCGCCAGTATTTTAGAGTAAATCCAGTCTCAGGCCTTGTAATGTTTGGAAAGCTTTCACTCGCTGAATCTTTGTAGAAAACAACAGCTGGTTTTCATCAGACTACTTGTAAGCTATAAAGAATATAGACAAGTTGTTTAAATGTTGGAGAAGTCACTGGTGTCGTCACAGAAATCACACTTTTTATGTATTAATCACCGACTGGATAAGAGGAATGACCCACAAGTCCACCTCCTCTAGTTGTACATCAGTGAAACCAGTTACCCTTCCCTGCAAGGGGAGCACTGACACCTTCTGCAGCTGGTGTTTTATGGAAACTGTTCAGGAGGGATTGGCCGGCTGAGCAGTTTCACTACCCAGAACACACATTTAATGATTCAATCAAGTGTCAAAGATCGGCCACATTACTAACATTTATGAAAAGTTCACTGATTCTTTTGTCAGTGTTAGTCTAAATAAAACTGCAGGAGGGAGTACGACTTTGGCCCTGTGAACAGATGGTGCTACATGTGTACTCACCATGCACAGAGGCTTAAATCCTCAGGTAGGCAGCCTGGGGTCAGTTCCAACCTGAGGTTCCTTTACCGCATGTTACTTCCAGCACTCTCTCCTGGTTTCTGCTTTATCAATGATCCTCTCTTCTCTCTCAGTAGAGCCTAAAAGTACATTTTAAAAAAACGGAAAGTGACAGGAGCTATCAACTCTGGTGTGATATCACCTTTGTAGCCTTAAAGGGATATTCCGGTGTAAAATTAAGTTAGGGTCAAACACACCAAGCTAGAGATGAATGTTGCTGACTGCTTGCTTCTCTAGTTATACCAACTTTAGTAACGACCATATGATAGCACAGCTGACTGAGGAGCCATAAACAAACCTCAGCCAAAACGCCACTCTATGGCCACAAATAATGCTCAGAACAGCACCTAACTTCATCAACAGTACATATAAGGTCCTAGCCACAGAACTAGCCCTAACGGTCCACCACTGCCTGAATCCAAGAGATCATCTGGTATTTAAAATAATATAATAAATAAACTGACACTTTTTGGACATCTTTCTACAAGGTTGCTGGGGCCACACAATGACTCATAGTTACGAGAAAGCCCAGCGTCCCCTGATGCTCTTTGTGGAAAAACGACATCAACAGATCCATCATTAAGTGGCTGTTGAAATCTAAAGTGTTTCCTTGTCATGATGCTTTAGGGATCAGACTCCGGGGCAGAATCACTGTTCAATATTTATCTCTTCAGATGTTGGACATCACCTCAAAAACCAGGATGTCGTTTCTGTACATATCAGCTCAAGCTAGATATGGCAGAGCTGCAGCGGCTTCCATTTTCATCCTCACTCTGACTGAGTCTCCCATTACAGGACTACACCTTAAAACATCCTCTAGTGGCACGCACCTTGCAGTTTCAATGCATAATGGTGCCACAGGGCATCCCTGCAACGGCTCAAAACATTTCATCTGGAAAAATATGTTGCAAAAACAGAATCAAAGCAAATCCCACCATCCAAAGGCCTGGAACAGATATCACAGAAACTTGCTCCATTGCTGTAGTTGGCCAAATGTTAAAAAAGCTGAAACACCAGTTTCGAAAACGCCTGCAAAACAGAGACGCTGCATGTCCAGACACCACTGTAGAAGTGCTCCAGGCCTTCAAGGGTGTTCATTGGAAGAGTTTGTTATAATCATTATATAACAGAGGGGAACTCCAGACATAAATCTGTTGCTCTCAGAAAAAGTGACTAGATTTGAAAACATTGTAAGACCAAGACTAAACACCAAGAAAGATTAAATCTCACCAGAGACTGGAGAGGAGAGAGGAAGATGATGAGGATCAGCATGCTCATCATCATGGGCAGCCTTGGGAAGCTTGGCGACTAGCATTAGTTTGTGAAGGCTACACGTCAGTCTGGTTAATACCACTACATCGGCTCTACTCTGTAGCTGTGTAGTGTTCTACATGTTAAAGGAATATTCTGGCGTAAAATTAATTTAGGGTCAAACAAACTGTAACACCGACTTAGACACCCCCTCGAGAGATGAATGTCGCTGAACGCTTGCTTCTGTTTTAAAGGCCAGTTCATTGCAGACTGCTGCAGGGTGGCGCAGCTCAAGGAAGAACATTTATGATCATTTCTTCATGGAAATGCAGTCAGACCGAGACGCTAAAGCAGAAGAACTACTGTGTCTGCAGTGCAAAATAATTAATATGGTGATTATTACTTCAAGGGAATGATAAAGTAATGATCATAAATGTTCTTCCTTGAGCTGCGTCACCCCGCAGCAGTCCGTAATGGACTGGTCAAGGTCTCGCTACAAACAAACGGCTGCTGGAAGAGAGTAGGTGAGTTGTGTTTAGTCTCTTTGCTAAAGAAATTAGGCAAAGTTAAAAAGATGTTTGATGGCTAGTGCTATGGCTGTGACCCTATATGTACTGCTGATGAAGTTAGGTGCTTTTCTGAGCATTATTTGTGGCTATAGAGTAGCGCTTGGGTTAAAGTTTGTGTGTGGCTCCTCAGAACTGCTGCACATTGCTATCCTACGGTTGTTACTTAAGTTGGTGTAATTAGAGAAGCAAGCAGTCGGCAACATTCATCTCTCGAAGGGGGTGTCTAACTCGGTGTTACGGTGTGTTTGACCCTAAATTAATTTTATAACAGGATATCCCTTTAATGTGTTGGAGTGTCTGCATCAATCTGAAGTACTCCACCAAAGCTGATAGTGTGATGTCTATGCAGGTCATATTACCAGTGTTTTTCAACATCCTCTGCAGGAAACTACATTGACTGAATCTGAGTGTATTATGTTTGAGTTTGAAGTGCAAATTGTTGAGCAGTAATTGTTCAAACTGCAGGAAGTGCGGAAGTAAAGAGACATAACAGGAGATGGAATTATCTAGCTGATGTATAGTGATACTGGAAATGTTGTAAATTCAGGAAATACAGTATTACCCCATCACAGGGCCTGTGGTCTGCGTTGTCTCAACACATGGTAACAGTCTGTTTAGGTATGGGACAACATGAACCTGCGGCGAATCCTATGACATACAGAAGTTTATCATTGATGCTGCTTGGTATGTACTCTGTACTCTATTACGCATACAATTTTGAAAGGAGGATATTCACTTGCTACCTGTGCAACCAAGAGACACACCTTGTCTTTCCCATCCCATCTCTTTGGGACAGAAATATCAACAGCAATCTGGAAAAACAAATGTTCATATTTGAAAATATTCAGGGGTCTTTATTTTGGCCTCAGTTACTTTGAAAAGCTTAAAAAACTGCAGGCACAAACTGCACCTTAAAGCTCTTTGCATTTCCTCATCTGCTGGCCGCTCACTCGCTCAGATTTACAGAAGATAAAAAAATAAGATTCTGCAGGACGCAAAAATTAAATTAAATTGTGCATTTTTTTTTCAGTTTCTTTTTGCTGTTTGTTTATTCTGGTAATCCTTGCAAATACAATTCACCGGAAGTTCAGCGTCAGATGTTTTGACAGTTTCTTAGGTTCATGCTTTTCTCAGAGGATTAATTTCCACATATCATCTCCTGAGAGTGGGAATTATAATCCAAACACCTGCACCCACACACTGTGGAGACGTACACTCAGTTTTGTTTACACAAGAATCTGGACAAAGTGAGGAAGCTCTGCTTGTAAATTCAGAGGTATTTTTTCTATCAAGTCTATTTAGGCCTCTAAAATATCGCATAAACACATCTCCTCCCAAGAGACCCAACAAACAAACATTTCAGTCTCGCGTTTCTATGTTGACAAAAGTGGTGTTGCAGCAGAGGTCACAGATGCAGAGTGAGGCCGGAGTAAATAAATCCAAAAGTCTAAATATAGAGAGTGACAGAGCAGACAGTTTATGTTTGAAAATCCTATTGCAGAAGCACACAGCTTGGTCTTAACTAAGGTATCATTTCTTACTTGTTCTGGGTTCAACCACAGGAGGATATTGTGAGGAATGCTGACCTCAATGAGGTGAGAAAGAGCAGGTTATTACCCTCAGGGAGCCATCACTTATCAGCTGGGCAGGTTGTACAGATAGTGACGCTGTGGGTCACATCTTGATGAGTGTGAGCCACCCACTCGCACCGCCTGATGATAGATGACAGCCGGGGGCGTCATGAGGAGGAACAGCGCCAGATCGGTGGACCTTTTCTGTTCTGTTTCTTACTATCCTCTGAGACAGTAAAAACAAGAGGTGATAGGCCAGGCTGAAGTGACAGCCGAAGACTGAAAATAGCTTTACTGTCACCAATAACATTATAGTTTATCTGAAATGACTTCACAGTGTGACGTCAGCGTCCTAAAGGTTAGTGCTGCAATTGCATCAACTTATTTCCTAAGTTTAGAAGTTCCTATATAATGACCCCGAGGACGTGGGAGCAAAAATCCTCTATAATGTTTCTGTAGCTCATCGCTTCTATGGAGAGGCTTTGAACCGGCTCCTGTGGTGATGCAACAACAGGAGTGATTTGCACAGACATGCGTGTAAAACCACTCACATCTCGATGCCTCTTTCCTTTTCCTCATTAGCTACCACTCTTCAACAGCTCTCTCGTTCAGGGTTTAGGTTCTGGATGATATTTGTCGTGTATTTGAATGGGTTCTTCTGGAGGACTCGCCAGCTTTGCTTTGAAAATTTTCCTGCCTCTGCATCTTTCTCATCCTCATCCTCATCATCAGGCAGAAAATCAACACGGTGCCGGACGGGGGCTGAATTTGTGGGGATTTGTAAACCTTAATGGAAAATGTTGCTAATATGATGGTTACCATATACTACTGGATCTAAAATCTGACTGATAAACACTTTTGAAGGTCTTTGTTTAGGCTGAACATTGAGCTGAGCTAGGATAGGCAATAGACAGTTGCTTAATTTACTGACAATAACTGCATTTCTTTTTCTAAAAATGTAGATGTAACTGAAATGTGATAAAGGTAAGTTCTTTACTTTAAGCAGCGGTGAGTCCAGAAGAGAGACTATAGCATTGGAGTGGCATTTGCCCCAGTGAAAGTTGATTTTCATTGATTTGAGTTTCGGTAGTTGCTTCATTTCCACAAACAGGCAGAGAGTGATTTGTTCTCTCTGCAGTGTTTCAAGATAAAATAAAGGTAAAGCCTTCATTTTCAGCTACTTTTGGCTATAATAAGCAAGGCTAATTTGACTGGATGTACGTGACTTGCCTCGATGTGTAGGGTGACCGTACGTCCTCTTTTACCCGGACATGTCCTTCTTTTTGGGGGACTGTCCGTTTTGTATGGAAGTTTTGAGTTTGTGTCGTGGACTAACTGAGTTAGAAGCGTGTAAAAAACATTCAACCCGACCCCAAAACTCTCAGAATTAATTATGCATGACTTCATGACTCCGCCCCCGCGTAGCAGTGTCCTCTTTTTAGGGGAATTATATGGTCACCCTATTGATGTGAAATTAAGAGACAGATGTTGCGTCAGGCTTCCTTAAGTGAGGCCAGGCTAATGTAGGACAGACATGTCTTCATCAAATTCTTGTGGACACAAAGATTTCCTACAGTCTGATCATTACCCTATATGAACTTATTATTTGTACTTCCACAAACCCTGGCTTTCAGATCTGTTGAGGTTTGGAAAAGGTCTGACATTACAGTGTTTTGGAGAATAATAAATCACTGCTCTTCTTTTCTGTAAATCATAAATGACATGAAACGTGTCTGAATTCTTTTCTACTCTTTCGCCAAACAGCACACAAGAGGATGGAATATCTGAGCTGAACTGGAAATGTCTGTTTCTTTTTTTCATTAGTCCCACAATGTCTTTCATGTAAATTTAAGCACTAACATGTGCTGAGTCATAAATAAGACGAGTTTTCCAGACCAGACATACCAGACGACGGCTCAGCTCTGTTTTATGATTATTGAGCCCATCAAGAGAGAGGCACAGACAGACTTATTTTACTCATCACCACTTTAACAGGGTTTTTCCTTTTACGAGTTAAATCTGGGTTTCGTTTTAAAAGAAACAATGCCATACAAAAAAAAAATACACAACAACAAAAGTTCCCCCTCTGTCTACTGCTGTGACGAAGGAAATAGTGCAGTTCAAGTTCTAGTGACTCTGAATCAGTGGCGGCTGCTGGTCTTTCAAGGAGGGGAAGCTCATTTTTCTGGCCTACATCATAATTGTATTTGTTTATTAGTATGTAACAGAACAGAGTCGCCAAACACAACGGCAGTCATTTTTAACAAAGACAAAAGTCGCTGAGGATCGGTAAAGTCTCCGGAGCAGTTAAGAACAACGGAATGAATAACTTGGAAAATGCTCTGGTAGATGTTTTATTCTTCAAGATCGCTGATTCGCTTGTTTAGCTGTCAATCAAAAAAGGATTTCGCCTCAGACAGCTCATCCAATCATGAATGCAGAAGCTTGGAGTCCGGGAGAAAGTCGGGACCGCCCTCTCGCCATAGAACTCCAGTGAAGCTGGGCTTCCGATGGGCGGGACAAAGCCCAGCATTTATCCAATGAGCGTCTAGTTTCACTGCTGGAACAACCCACTTTAAGCTTCCACATTGAAGTCAGCAGAAGCCCAGCGTCCGGCTGTGTGAATCGCTGAGGGGCTGCGAGGATGAATGAGAACGAAGTTATGCCGGTTACCTGTGATTATCAGCTTCTTATCACAGTGTCTGAACAAAAGATGAAGGCTTTCTAGTGCGTATTTAGTTAATGAAATGTACACACAGCAGTACGTATTTCACCACTTTTTCTTTTTTTGGGGGGGTGACATTTTAAGGGAAGCCGAGCTTCCCTTGCAGTCTTAGAGCAATCGCCACTGCTCTGAATGTTGGTGTGTTTTAAAAGAGCACGAGGACCTGTAGACCTGTAGGAACAAGTGGAGCAATATCTTGTCCTGCTTATCCAGGCAACTGCAGCAGAGTAACATAACCCATCAGCAGCAGTGATAACACCAACAGTGGGTTTCAAAGTTGTGGCATTTGCCTAGTTTATGTCTAAAGGTGGTCAACAGCAAAGCTCTGAGAAGAGGGGGAGCTGAATGAGGATGGAAAAGTCATGTTCAAATCCCTGCAAAAGCCCTGCGCACCTTCTCTAACATTATCTTTAATAAAAGATGTTTAGTTTATTATGAATCACAACAAATTAAGGTGTTAATCGTTGCTAAAATTCAACCATGGTTTGAAGTGTTCGGTTCATTATTTAATTTTCATCATTTAGCAAGTTACAATCAGAGGAGAAACTTCCTTTCACTTGAGCAAGACCAACTCATGTTTGATCGTCATATACTGAGATGGTGTTGGGGTTAGACAAGGAGTAGAGAGGAAAAATAGAGAGATGTGTAGACATTTACAACAACAACCATCCAACATCTGTTAACATGGATGTTTGTGATTATAGATGCTTCAGTCTGGGCTGGAATAGACTGACTCAGCTACATCAGCATCCACAGAGCCACGCCGTCAGCCAAAGCCTGTACTGGTTACTCCTTTTTTTTTTCCAAGTACATCCCTCACATGTATCTGAGTTAGTGGACAGTTTGGTGGAAAACCTAACCTTTCATTTTGTGTCACAGTGTGTGCTGACCTGACTCTGAACTATGAGTTGCCTTTGGGTGGTCTGAAGAGCTCTCAAACAGCACTTTTCCTCCATCATTATTCATCACCTGGACAAAGCTTGAACTGACACACAGCCTGATGGATTTTCAGCCAGTTGGACACGTTCTGTTAAACAACTTCAGATTTATGCAAAGTAAAAGCTCTCTGTTTGCAATCTATTCATGATATTTTTCCTCTCTATTTTGTACAACCAGAAAAGCATCTTTATGCTATTTTCAGAACGTTTACTTTTGTGCTCTTTGTCAAACCGTCTGATTTTTCCCTCGCATGCATCCTTTGTGTGTAACTCTGTCACAATGGGACTTAATTGGGACGAGTACTCTGCACCGCAGGGGGTCCGAGGATCTGATCTCCGTGCAGAGATACAACCTTTTCCTGTTTTTGCCTTCAGTTCCCTCATGAGCCAACTTCTCTGAAGATTAAAAACAAATGTTGAAAGAAAGAAACGAGGAAGTTTGAAGATGAAAAAGTTCCAAATGGGTCAGAGTGTTTCCTGGTACAGAGTTTGAATCAAGATCCATCAGTTCAGGCGTCCAGTCCCTTTAGCCTCGGTCAGTGAGTTCTCCTGTGTGAAGGAAAGAGATAAAAGACGGATTTATCGCTCACACTGGTACCAAAAATGGTTTGGAAATACAAACCGAGCATGAATAATCACTTTCTAAGAGGATTTTCTGCTTTTTATCACACCTTTTGACATTTAAAGGAACTTTCATATCCCTCCAGACAGTCAGTTTGACCTGGTTGCATTTTTTACATAGTTTTCCACAGTAAGAACTAACAGGCATTCACTCACCAGCTACTTTATTAGGTACACCTGGTCAATTGCTCGTTAACACAAATAGCTTATTGGCCAATCATGTGGCAGCAGCTCAATGCGTTGAGTCATGTAGACGTAGTCAAGACAACTTTCTTTGGGTGACCATATTCTGAATCCACAAAAAGAGGACACAAATATATGGGGGCGATGTCACAGAGTCACTCGTAGTTAATTTTGAGAGTTTTTTGAGTTGGGTCGAGTGTTTTTTATGCACTTCTCACTTAGTAAATCCATGCCACACAAACTCAAAACTTCCATACAAAACCCCGGGCATTTGAAGAATTTTATAAACTTCCCCAGACAAAGCTGGACAAGGCCCAACAGGACCCAAAAAAGAGGACATGTCTGGGTAAAAGAGGACGTATGGTCACCCTAACTTTCTGGAGTTCAAACTGAGCATCAGAATTGAGAAAAAAAGGAGATTAAAGTGACTTTGAATGTGGCATGATTGTTGGTGCCGGACAGGCTGGTCTGAGTATTTCAGAGACTGCTGATCTACTGGGATTTTCAGGCACCACCATCTCTAAGGTTTACAGAAAATGGTCCAAAAAAGAGAAAATATCCAGTGTGCTGCAGGTGTGTGGACCAAAATGCCTTGTTGATGTTAGAGGTCAGAAGGCAGACTGGTTCGAGATGATAGAAAGGCAACAGTAAGTCAAATAGCCAAATCTTAACGAATCTTAACCCCGGGTTCTGGACCTGTGCATCCTCGAGCATGTCCATCCACTTGATCCGAAGTGAGGGCAAAGTTGTAATTGTCCAAATGTCCCACTTTCTTTGTCCCACACTGCAGAACTTGGATGTTGGATTTTTGATTGTAAAAACTCAGCTCACGGCATGCCCGGTTATAAACATGGATGCAGATTCTCACCCGTCCATACAACCAGGAGCACACAAACTTTTCCCTATGCACATATCCCACTCTCAGACATCCATATCGAGTTGCATGTAAAGTTTCATTCATTTCTGATGATGTTTAGTGGATGAATCAGCACTTCAAACACTCTCAGTCCATGAATGAAGACCTCTGTGCGCGGCACCAAAGGGGTTAAAATTATGTGTTGGCTCAATCGGTTGTATCACTGTCAGAAAGTATAATTTAGAGCCCTGATGATCAAGTGACTGCAAAAAAAGGTTGCAATATGTTGTTATGGTGCCATAAACACACGGTCAAAAAACGTGTTTTTAATGGAAGTCTATTGTCCGATTTGTGAACAAAGTAGGGTGGATGGAGAACTACAGGTGACACTGAGGTTTTTTTTTTTTTTTTTAAATAAAGAAAAATAATAACTCTCACCAAATTCGATGCCCCAATCTTTAAAACTGTGACTGTCAGCTCAAAATAAATATGAAAAAAATGAGAAATGTCCTCAAAATGGATATAGTAGGAACCAAAGTTTAAAGCAGATAAGCTACAGCAGCAGAAGACCAAACTGGGAACAGGAAACTGGGGCTACACTTCACACAGTGTCACCAAAATCGTACAGTAGAAGATTGGAAAAACGTTGCAATGTTTCGTGATGTTTTTAGGACGGATTGCAGGACAAGATGTTGCTCCACTTTCCCCTGTCAGGAATGGGTTGTGGTCCAGAGACTACTCTGGCTGCTCTCACATCTGTTCCCAGAAACTGACATTGCTTTCCCACTTTCAAGACCAAGTTGTACCTTTGTCTGGTTGCACCACACTCATGTGAGTTAATCATAACTGGTAGACGTAATGTCCAAACTAACTGAATTATTGTCATAGATATGATGTTTATACTTAAAGCAGCCAATCAGATTAAAGCTTTTTTCTCTCCATTCTTGCTTTAAAACAGACTTACAGAGAAGTTAATATAAGTTAAATGCTGTTAAATGCATCTATATTGTTCATAAACAGATGACTTATTTATCATGAGGTAAGAGCAGTATGGGTATAACTTGTTGATTCATTCAGCTGTCTCCTTTTTAACATTACCTCTCCCAAAAGGTCGTGCAGTTTTACTCACAGTGCTGTGGTATCTTAAGAATGAGTTTTAATGTCCTATATCATATTGTGGTCATGTTAGTGTACATGTGTTTCATATTCATTTGTGGCAGAGGTTGAACTTTGTGTCTGGACAGAGACATGAAACTTTAACACATTTTATTTTGGTCTTGTAAATTCTTTTGGACCTACCTTGGAAGTTTGTTTACCTGCAAAAAAAAAAGAACCAAATTAGGACAAGTTGTTCTTGGATGAAGGTTGTTTTAGCTATTTTCCAGTGACTCAGTAGTTTGAAGTAGAGGTTGGTTGTTTTGAGTTAATGATGAGTGATTCCTGATATTTTGCAGAGAACTTGCAGGACAAAGACTATTTTATTTCAAGCTTCAGAGAGGTCAGATAATTCAATCAGGTTTAGTGTTTTCAGGGAGATGCTGCCTTCCTGCTTGATGGCTTTATGATAAAACCCTGAAGAACAGCTGGACTGACTTATTTGTCCACACTGTGATGAACATCACAACAGGGGCAGCTGGAGTTTATCACAACATGGAAAGTTTCAACATCACCTGGTTAATGTTTCAAGTATCTTTCCTTGTGTTTGTTTGTAAAATTCTTGATTTAAACACAATAATCAAATCTTATTTTTTTCCATCACCAGTTGTAAAAATGTCTCCCGCAGTGAACCAACAACCCTTTTAATAGAAGATGCAATGATACCTCTTATTGAATTAACCTTTTATCATCTGTGCTGTTATTATTTCTGGGTTTTATGGCACATGTCAGGAGTTAGCTGATAAATCTTTGTTGAAATGAGTTCATGAGATCACCAGAGATGATTTTCTGCAGAGAAAATTCAACTCTATGATGTCCGCCGTGTGTTTCACTGGTAATGATGAGATATAACTTCAGTATCTTTCAGCTTTTTCATTCTACAGTCTTGCTTCTTATTTTAACTCATGTTTGTGCATCAGCTTGCGGTCCGAATGACATCTGCAGAGGCTCCAGTGTGGAGCTCTTTTTGTTCTCCAGTCCAAACTAAACAATTGATAACAGCACGAGTGTCTCCTTTTCATTTAAAAATAAAACATTTCCAGGTTTATTTTCCCCAGGAGCACCATCCTGTCAGTTGTTTTGAACATCTGAAGGGAATAATTCTGGACAATCGCAGGAAAAGCAAACAAGAGAGTCAGCGGGTTGATTCCTGAGGCAGCAGAACGGGGTTAAAGCTCCTGTGGGGATTTTTTTTGACTGAGTGTGATACAGACTGGAATTAAAAACGGATGCTCTACAAAAGCTCATGAGGTCATCAGAGACAAAATGCATGATTTTTATTCATCTTTCTACCCCCTGAAACTGATTTCAGGGGGTAGGTGTATTCTGCTGCAAAGATTTTTTTTGGCAGGTTTAAAAATGTTCATGACTAAATCAATACAGGGATGACATAACACTTTGTCCATAGAGGGCGCCAAATCAACTCAAAAGTTCCTTAAAGGAGCTTTTAAGTACTTGAGTTAATTCACATCACAAGACTTCGTAACCTGCAATTTTTGGCAATGACGTTGATGTTGAAGTGCTGTAAATGGCGATGCCACAAATGTCTTCCAGACCTTCTGGATTAAATAGACCAGACAACAGCGGTCTTTTTTTCTAATGGATGATTTTTTAAAAATTCCTTAGCTCTGAAGATCTCAAGGTTATGAGTTTTCTGTAGTTAGGGCCCCAGCTGACTTAGCGGGTAGGCGCACTGTAACCCCCAATTTCCACCACATCTGGAACGGCTACGAAAAGGCCGTATCCGCCGATCGCAGCTGATCGTAACCATTCAAGTTGATGTGTCAATTTACACCGGCTTCTTTCCATCTGCAGATCAGCAGACTCCGCAGCTAATTGCAAGAGTTCTATTTCTGGATGCCAGAGCATGCTGGATAAATTCAGTACAGATTAACCTGTGCTGGAAAGAAAGTCGGGCTCAGACACAAAATAAAACATCTGGCTTCCTTTCAAAATAAAACACTGAGTTTCAGGCAGATCGTATTCACACCATGCAGTGAACAAGTGAAAGGTTTTTAGACAGCATTTCACCCTGATGGCACCATGGGTGAGAAGATGCTGATTTTAGAAGTCTAGAAGTGGATTTCCTCTTCTGGAAGGACACAATCTACTGCTTATCGTGCCATTGCACGTGAATCCACGGGTTCTTGTGAGTTCTCACGATTCCCGCTGTCCGTAATCTGCCACGAATTTCGCCTCACAAACGGATCTGGTAGGAACTGGCGAAAATCGCAGTCATTCCGGATTGGAGCCGTTCTGGATGCGGTGGAAGTCTGGGGTAAGTTTTGGCAAAGACGCCAAATCCCACCTCAACTCTACCTCCTCTCTGCTTGTTGTTCGGTTGGTTGAAGTTAGGATGAGTCAGCATTTCTGTTGTAAGGACCAGCTTGGAAATTCCCCGTTAGATAAACTAATGAGAACAGCCCAAGGCCACCCTTTGGTGAGTCAGTGCTTCAAATTTAAAGAGCATTGACATGCCCCATCATTGGCAGATACGTTTCTTATTACAAGCAATTCAGGTCATTTTTTGTAAAACTTTAAAAAGGACTGTAACCCGAGTTTTGACTTGAGCTTGAATCGTTTTATATTGGCCTCTTTATGAGTAGCTTTTTTCATTTGTAACATGAAATTAACTGTACAACTACAACAACAGCGGGCATTTCAACTTTATATCCAGCATAGGTGATATTTGTTTAAGTTGTCATAATCAATGTAGTTCTTATTGTGTCCTAAAACAAACATATCTTTGTAATGTTTCTGGTGTCAGGTTTTTAAATCAATGTAAACACAGTTTCGAACTAAAACCTGTTTTAACCAATTCCAGAAAGAGCACTGGGGGGTGTCTTTGCATCATAATTGTATTATTGGTTACTCTCCAGGTGCACACCAGCTGTCCATCTTCTACATGAACATTTTAACAATGAACTTACTGTAACTACGGTCCGGGTCTTGATCCTAGCTCTTGTGGACCCTCCTCACCCTCCTCTGTTCTCTTATCTCAGCGAGTTTCCCATCACTGGATGAGCTTGAGGGGATTAAAACAATGTGATGGACACAGATGTTCTCAGGAACATGGGGAGGCTTTGTGCTCTGAGTCTGAGAGCTGCACGTCCAAATAAAACAAAGGAGACACTTTGTATGTCCCGGGATGTTTTTCTGTCACAGCAATGATCCACACACATGCTGTAAACCCACTTCAGACGTATATCATCAGCCCTTATTGATTAACTTTACTGTTTGCTTTCAGGCATTTATCAATAAAGACAGAGGTACAAGCACTGAGGATTTACAGCTAATGCTGTTATTGTGGAGAACTCATTAACTCCATCATTGATCAGGATTATTGCAGCCACTTGAAAACACAAGTCTTCTAAATAAGAATTGATCCAGAGTAAAGGGTCTGGGAATTAGAGTCATAAAACATGAAGTAGGTCAATTTTTCTGTACATTGCAGGTTTATTAACAAACTCTCTCACAGGCTGCTCCTTTTGTGAGCTTCGTCTGAATTCAAGCAGCTGTTTTCTATATTTCCAAAAACTTATTCTTTTAATATATCACTCATAAGGCTTTCTACACTCAATTTTTAAGTTCAGGTCACAGTGATGCCCCCCATGACTCCCCTTAAGGGATATTCCAGCATAAAATTAATTTAGGGTCAACATCAATGTACGTATTTTACATTAAGTGAGCAAAATGATGATGTTGCAAAAATTTGAATTATAATTTGTCTGAAACTACTGATCAGTCACATATTTTGCAATCATAATCGCAAAATAGGAGCTACGTACATGGATGCAAGTAATTGCACTAAAATCTCATTACACACCACCGACCAGCAGGTGGCATATTTTTAATGCATTGCAGTGGAGTGAATTGTTAACCTGAGGGAAATCAAGCAGGAGTCACAGAAAAAGATTCACAGAAGGAAACTCACTTAAATTGCTGAAAATAATATTATTTGAAGGGAAATCTTTGCAGGAGAAGTTGAGAGCAAAAGAGCTTGGACCTGCTCAACCAGACATCAGGAAAGGGAAGTAGCTAACATGTAATGATGCTGATGTTTTATTTTAGTTCTCTTGCCTCCTCTAAAAAGTTAAAGACAGGATCAAAAGTTCATCAACCCCCTGTACACACAAGCAAATGCACCAGCAACAAGAAAATACATAAAGTCACAAAACTTCGAAAAATCTAACCAAATAAGGTCAATAGGATCTACAAAGTTAGAACACAAAGCTACAAGCAAACTGCTGAGAATCACTTTCTTGTCGTTATAATAGCTGCTATAAATTACTACAGCGTCAAATCACTGAGATCAATTCACTCTGTTGACTTTGTAAAATCACAGTGTAACAGTTTGGGTAATATATGTCTTACTCAAAGCTGCAGGTGTAAAAATGTCAGAAGTATAAATCTAACACATCAGCGTAGACAACTCCTCACTCAGAAATGTACCATTTATTATTTTAGAGTTCTCAAAAAAGCATTTTCAGAAACTAAAATACCAACTCAGCCTTCCTATAATGCCTGCTTGGTAAATGAATGCCTTATATTAAATACAAGATAAAACAAAATGAAAGAAAAATCCCATAATGATGATCAACTACCATCTAGTCTATGTTTTGACCTGCAGTCTGATCTTTTCAAGCAAGACAAGCAAAGATCTGATTGTGCACCTCCCTCTAGTGGCCAAAGTGTATTACTACCAAATCAGCAGCACATGATGTTAGACACAAACTCCAACATCTGTTAACAACAGAGTGTGAAGATAGGTAAAACTACACAGAGAAACAGCTGTTTTAAGCTAGTGATCTATATATGGATGAGTGAAATGATAATATTCATAAACTTCAATTTAAAATAGATCAGACGACCTTCTATACAGGTTCAGTCTTATTCAACTGTGACTTTGTCTTTTGATCAAACCATGATATCTATAACATAATGTATCATGAACAGGCAGTTATGTAATACAGTCTTATTAAGGTGAGCAGGAACCCGAGAAGTAGTAGAGGAGTCTTGTCTTACCTTGAGGGGAATTTTTTGTTTGTTTGTTTTTAACCCCAATAATATAAAGATTTATTTATTTATACTGCTGGGAAATGAAGCCCATTGAATTCTACTTCTATGGCAACAGATTTCCAAACAGCATTGCTAGAAATTGTCTATCTCTATATTGTACTTAATCTAGCTGTCTAACCACTTATAAAGCACATTTACATCATATGCCGCAATAACACCACATTGATATACTGGTGTCAGAGGCCACTGCATAAAGTATTAATCAAAACCACTGTATTAATCAATTCCACTCAAGGCACCAATGGGGCAGAACCGGCAGTGCAGTTCAGAGTCTTGTCTGAGGACATTTTGGCGAGTGGACAGCAGGGTCTGGGGTTGAACTGTGACCCTCTAACTGAGGGGAGACCAACTTTACAGCTGAGCCACTGTACAAACACTCTAAAAATAATCTGATTGTTCACCTCAGAAAATCCTTTATTGATTCATTTGTGATAGACTTGCAGTAGCTTTCTTTGTATATAAATGTGGCACATTTTGTTAGCGCCCTCTATTGTGACTTTGGGCCAATATCTCTATTTTTGAGTATCTGTTTTTGGGCATTTTTTTTTCTTTCTTAGACTAGGCAGCCAAGAAGAGACAGGAAATACAAGGACAAAGAGAGTCAGGGTTGACATGCAGCAAAATATTATGGCCAGAGGTCAACCAGCGACTCTTGTGACAATCGCTGTTGTCTCTGTAAATGGGGAGGGGGCTTGAACTGATTAGCCAGCTGGCACCCAAAATAAGTCCTTGAAGAGTCAGCCTTAAAGACTGATGTTTTGCCACTTTGTTGCATTTCTTCTTAAAGAAACACAACAGCATTATTATACTTCTGTGAGGAGTTTTTATCCAGTTATGAAACAGACTAAAATTAATACTGATGTCTTTTTATGATCCACAAAAGCTATTGTGGACACTAGCATCAAAATTCACTTTTACTATGTAGTAAAAGTAAATAGTGAAGATAGAGTGGGTTACTACTCTCATCTACCCTGGCCACCCTTGCCCAAGCCTGCACCCGAGACGGGGCACCCCAGTCAAAACCTTTTAGACACGCCCCTGCTGCTGCTGCCCCCACATTATAATTCACATCAAACTGAACATAAAAAAAGAGACAAGTCATTAATGTGTGAAATTGAAATCACATTTATTGTTTGTTCTGGAGTTGATTCACTTTAAACTTAATCCTTTGTGTACAGTACACATCTTTCCTCCTCTGCATCTTTTTCTTTTTACTTGTTATTGTCGTCTCACTTTCTTTTTAAACACACACTCACTCTCACACACGCGCACACATACACACACACATACATACACTCACACGTAACAGCCAGTTACACCAGCTGAGGCTTTCTCAGGTAATCTTAAAAGGAGCTCTAATGCACCGGCTGTCTGATTCACACAGTAATGCAGTCAGAGGCTGCGGCATCTTTTAACCCCGGAGAGGATCAGACCTCAGCATGCAGAGAGCTCTCCTTTAAGGCTCGCTTTTTAGAGTCCTTTGAAACCAGGACGTGACAATCACATTGAAATGTTTTCATCACCTGCAACACTCTCACCAGCACCAAAGTTTCAGCTTGGAGAGACTAACGGATGAAAATAAAAAATACTCTAAGATTCACCTTGCAGGACTGCAAATACAGAAATGCACAGAGCAATAAAAAATACAGAAAACAAATCACAATAGAGGAATTAAGATCACTTATTTTGAACTACCTTTGCTAATAGAACTGCTGATAGCTCTACTAGCATCAACAGTCTCTTAAGTACATGTAGTTATTATATAGGATGTAGCTATACTCCATAAAAGAGTTTGGGGACTGTTGGATTGAACATTGGAGCAAACTTTTAAAAGTCGTCAGCCTACGTGGACCCTTCAGTTAGAGCTTCAGTTTGATATGAAGACAGTCTGAGGCAGAAAGACCGCAGACTGAAAGCCCGAGGTCAGACATGTTTCTCCGTTTGGACTGACAGTTCTCCCGTGTAAAGTCAAGTTTATTTTAAGATCCTGTTAAATTGGAATTATCTAAACCTACAGTAACAACATGAGTCCCATGAAGCCGCTCCGGTAGCTCGAGTCTTTCCGACTCTGCAGTGCGATGCTCGGTCCGGTGCTCAGTGTGGAAAGTCGGGATTTCTGTGCAGAGTTTCCTCCACCATCAGGTCCAATGTAAACAGCTTTTACAGAGGCAAGACAAGGAAGTAAACAGACTCTTTGGCACATCCTCACACAACCAGGGATGCTTAAAGTCTTCATCAGACTACACGCAGACAGACTCCCACCTTTAGTTCACTTAGAGCTAAGGAGTCGTTGTCCTACCAAGCAGTTTGACTTCTGTCTCTCTCTCTAAAAATGGGAAACAAATGCACATTTTCTATTTATGTACACAAACATACACGCTAACACACACACACGCACACGTACTGTGCACTGCAGTAAAAGTGCACCTCTGACCTATTATCAGACATTCTACTGTAGCTTTAAAATGACCTAGCTTACCACATTCAGATGCATAATAATAAATAAATAAGAGTTCAGGTTGAAAAAGGCAGGAAGAAAATGGCAACAGCGTGAACAGAAAAACTTGAAATGTGGAACTGTGAGGGTTTTTTTGGCCCTGCTGCTCTGAAACAGAGAGGAGGATTAATCAGCTTCAACAACAGGGGCGGAAGGCACCAGCAGGGGGCACACCTGAGTGTAACCTTATGACTGTTTTCCACTGAGAATCAGGACACACAAGAAGCTTTTGAACCAGTTGGACTTGGCTGTACGGTGTGTAGAAACTTGAATATTCAGTCAGATTTCAGATTGAAACACTCCCTCGTTCACCCCTCCTGTCTGCGACAGTGGCCTGTAAGGACAAGAAGCTCCTGTCAATCCTCATTTTTTTTTAAATATTTTTAGTTAATAAAAGCCTGTCAATACAAACACGCTTATAAACAGCAATTACTTTTCCTTCTCTTTCAACAGGAGCATTAAGAACAACCAATTATGAAATATAAAAACTAGTATGTTTCTACTTTGTCCTTTTAGTGCAACTGTAGCAACATGGCGGTGTAAGATGATGGCCTCGCTCCTACATAGATACAAAAGGACTTTATACTCTAGTGATTTTGGACTAATATAAAAAACTGTCTTCCATTTATACCAATGCATTTAACAGTCTGATAAATGCAGCTAAATGCTACACATTGCATTTGAAAGCCTTGTTTGTTTTATACCTGGGTGTAACCATCATGCCTTGGAGGAAGCAGCCTAGTTCAGGGTATATACTTGAAAAAGTACAATTCAGAGAACTTCTATCAAACTGTCTCAATTATCAAAAATGACATTTAGATAAGGGACTAACCCATGATCAGACACTAAGAAATTTAAAAATTGCAGATGGCAATACCCTATTTCTGGTGCAAAACCAAACATGGACGATAGTGACATTTCAGAGCTTAAACTAAAGCCTGAGAGCAATCAGAACCTGCAGGGTAGAGACATGCTGCAGTGATCAATTAATATCAGTTTTTCAACAGCCAATGATTACAGAGCAGGTTGGCTGATGACCTTTTAAGAATGCTAAAATCATTTTATTTTCAAACATTGCATCCAACCATCTGTAATTAAAAAAAAAGTCAATATTTGGTTTTTAAAAAAGAATATATCTTGTATCTAATATACACAGTTATCTGAGTTAGAAATCATGTTTTAGGTGAATTTTTAATGAATAACAAAAAGACAATTAGATTAGCTTGTGCAGCGAATTCAAGAGCACGCCTGTACAGTAAGTTCTCAGAAGCAATACAAATCTGCATTTTTCTATATTCAATCATTATAACAGAGTACAGGGTTCCTACACATTTGGAATTTCCATACTTTTCCATACCCTCTTTTTTCGGATTATTTTTAAAAAAATACCTACTTTTCTAATTTAGAAAACAGTATTTTACAACTGTGGTAATAGTCCGGAAACATAAATATTCCAAGTCCTGGAAATTGATCAAATTTATTTCTTTCCATACTTTTCCATACTTGTGTAGGAACTCTGTGAGTATCTATTAGACACTAGCCTGTGACTGCTTTCAATTTCATGTGCTGTCACCTAGGACATAAAAATATGAGAGCTTCATTGACAAAAACAAACCCTACATCAGCTCACTGTCAAGGCAGAACACAAATGCAGCACACTTTGAGTTTTATATCTGTTTCCTTTTTTCCTTGTATATTACCTTAAATATGCCAACTAGTCTCACATTACAAACTTAGTGCTGCTCCTGCCTAAGAGCAAAAATTACACATAGGTGTAACACAAACAGCACATTAGTCCAACCGGCTCACAGGGCTTCACTTTAGGAACTTTTAGTCAAAACATTCAGCTCTAAGTCTGATGTAAGGTTTCTCTCAGGTGTAAACTCAGCTGGTGCACTCGGCCCGGGAGCCCTATCTGCTGAGAAGATCAGTAATGACATCTTTAAGGTCAAACTCTGTTTAACTGTAACGTTGGGTTTTAGTTTGATTGTGTATGAATGTGCAAATAGAAGGTTAAGGTCTCATTGGGTGCTTTCAGCTACATTCAAACCAAATGTATATTTGGGCTTCACTATTACATGATCAAGTTAAGTCGAGGGGTTTTCCCTTTTTGGGTGTGCTTCCACTTCTTGCTCCTTTCATTAATCAAATTAGGCTTGCTTTGATTGGTCCGTTCACACGGACGCTTTCTAAGTGCTAAGTGACAATGTCATTATCAAAAGTGCCTTTTTTTTGTTTTTTTGTTTTGTTTTGTTTTTTACATGCGTCTCAACCTCAAGACTAACAGGATGATAAACGTGGTTAAATCCCAGTCAGGATCTTCATGAGAGGCTGAGGACAGAACTACCAAAACACTGTCAGTCTCATAGGTCTGATTGAAAGGGACTGGATATAAAGATGGACAACATGACTCCACCTCCACCCGCCGGACAAAAGTGAAGCCAGAACGATGGCTTGGCTTCTGTTCAAATTTTTCATGGCTGCACTCATCCTGCTCTCCTTCAAAACTGTAAATCTGTGTTTATGAGTCAGTAAACTTGGATGTTCACTCAGTTACATGTAACGTGATGGAAACATGTTATTTCAATGTGCAGGTTTAGTAGAGGCAGAAAGGAAGAGGGTGTCACGAAGAGCCAAATTAAGACCTTTGCAAGTTATTTAATTCCTTTGATACCACTGTCAGAAATACACAGTGTGAAAATGAAGTCTGTCAATATTCAGAAAGAGAAGATGAGGCTCTTACTTTGAAAATCAGCCAATTAGTTGCAACTACATTTTCTATCTCATACTTGGAATTGTGGAAATCACAAGTACTCTTTATAAGATCGATTTACTGTCTGTTTTGGCCGGGAGATGTGAACCTTATATTTTCTAGATTCTCGCTGGTGGACTGACTGCTGAGACTCCTAACATGCACGATGAAGTCGGAGTTGGTGCAGATCGTCCAACTTTTCAAGAGGGAAATCCGAGTACCTAGTACAACTTGAACGCAGCATAATTTCAGCGCTAAATATCAGTGAGTTCTGGACTGCTAAATTATGCACCAAATTGTCACTGGGGGACACTAATGCTAGCAGCCAGCATGCATTAATGTTAATGTAGTTAACAGCGAGTATAACCTTGAGCCTCACTTTCCAGGAGCTGTCATGTTGTCCATCTTTTTAAACAGTCTATTAGTAATGCGGGAAAAGAGGCTGAACTTTCTCATAAAAAAGGGGGGAGTGGTTGAGGTTTGATAAAGGGCTACATGAACGCTAAATCAGCCAGTGATCTGTTCCCATTATCACCCTGACATTCAATAAAAACAAGGCAAAAGCACGAATCATTGGTTCTTTTTGTCTCAACCTTGGACGCTTCCCACAATCATCAGTCCCAGCTGTACAGGTAAGCCAGGAGAGCTTGGTTCCCATGGAAACGGGACTAAGTAACAGTCTAGTAAGCTGCTTCAAAAGGTGCTCAGAGGGCTCTTTGGAGGGCAAACACTCCTCCTAGACTACACTTTGTGAAGGCCGAAGGAAAATAACAGATGGACTAAAGGAAAGACAAAAAGGCAGAAAAAAGTGAAGGAGCCGTGTGACCACAGGGATGACTCTGAGCTCACACCGTCTGGGCAGGGAGGGGGATGGGAGCTGGCGACGGGGTAGACCGCTCCTCCGAGACCTTTACAATCTTTGTGGCAGTGAGAGGAGGAGCGGGCTCAGAGGGGGGCGTGGGAGAGCTGCTGTTAGGAGGAGAGGTGCGGGTCAGGGTGGAGGTGGTACTGGAGGTAGAGGTGGAGGCCTGGAGTTGAGCCGGGTCTTCGACCGGGGCGGGGGGTCCAGCAGAGGGTTCCTTTGGAGCAGCAGGCTTGTTGTAGTTCATCTTGAGGATGTGCTGCTGGAGGTGTCTGATCCAGTCTTCCTGCACCGACAGCGGGCCGTGAAACTCCACCTCACAGAACCTGAGAGAGACAGAAAAACCATCTGTTATATTATTTCTGTATTTAAAGGGATATTCTGTCTTAAAATTAAGTTAGGGTCAAACACACCGTAACACCGAGTAAGACACCACCTCGAGAGATGATTGTTGCCGACCGCTTGCTTCTTTAGTTTTACCAACTTTAGTAATGACCACAGGAAAGCAATACAGAGAGCCACGCACTCAACCAAAACGCCACTCTATAACCACAAATAATGCTCAGAACAGCACCTAACTTTATCAACAGAACATATAGAGTCCCAGCCATAGTACTAGCCAACAAACATCTTTTTAGCTTTGCCTAATTTCTTTAGCAAAGAGACTAAAAACAACTCACCTACTCTCTTCCAGCAGCTGCTTGTTTGTAGGGAGACCTCGTGCGAGTCCATCGACTGCAGCGGGGTGACGCAGCTCAAGGAAGAACAATTATAATCATTTCCTCATGGAAACGCAATCAGACCAAGACGCTAAGACTGAAGAACTACCGCGTCTGCAGTGCAAAATGATGAATATGATGATTATTACTTCAAGGAAATGATAAAGTAATGATCATAAATGTTCTTCCTTGAGCTGCGTCAACTCGCTGCAGTCGATGGACTCGAAAGAGGTCTCTGTACAAACGAAGAGAATAGGTGAGTTGTGTTTAGTCTCTTTGCAAAAGAAATTAGGCAAAGTTAAAACGATGTTTGGTGGCTAATACTATGTTTGGGACCCTATATGTACTGTTGATGAAGTTAGGCGCTGTTCTGAGCATTATTTGTGGCTAAAGAGCGGCGTTTTGGTTGAGCGCGTGGCTCTCTGTATTGTTGTAGTGCGGTCATTACTAAAACTGGTATAAGTAGAGAAGCAAGCGGTCTGCAACATTCATCTTTCGACAGGGTGTCTAACTCCTAACTTGTTTTTACGCTGCAATATCCCTTTAAAGAGCATAGGCAGGTTATGTGTATGATTATATCTGAGTCTTTTGCACCTGTTGTTTATGTTTAGTTGATCCTCTGTAAAACACACGCTAAATAAACTTGAAAGTTTGCAGAAATATGGATGAATTCAAACCTGCTTATGTGAAATCTCAGTAAATCTGGTCCTTTCTTTATCTGGTTTGATACATGTATTTCATAAGTCCCAGAAAATGATTGTCCAGCGCCTGTTTTTCACAATATCATACAAACTAATGGTGGTAAATTCAGCGTTGAGTCTATTAGAACTCCAGTGCTGCAGTTATATCAGAGTTTAAGCCCTCATTCATGTTGCCAGGAAATCCCAAATGATTCACTGTTCTCAATATAGAGCAGAAGCAACTAAAAGTGGAGTACGCTCAGCAGGAGGCGGGGTGGGGATGGCTGCTCTGGGATTTTCAACTATTTAAGATATATCAAAATATTTCTGTTACTGCTGCTGCTGAGTCTCAATATCCCACATGAGCAGCTCTGAACATTTCCCGCCCTCACACCGAGGCTCTACTCACCGGCACTTCAGGGTGTAGAACTTGCCCACGAGTTTGACCAGTGGGTAGGAGGGAGGTTTGGGCACCAGGGCGGGGATGGTGCTTGTGCGCAGGGGCTTCGGGGGGCCGCTGTCCCTCTCTGTTCCTTCAGAAAGAGACGGGTGCTTCAATGGCCGACGCTCAAAACCTAAAATGAAGGAGATGGAGTGAAACGCAGGACTGGTGAAAAATGGAGCTGGAGTTAACGACTTGTTTGTGGATGTAGTCCAGTTTGGTACTTTCAGGGTTCCTTACAGGGTCCTTCTCTGAGGAACTTTCTATTTCTGTCAGTATATTTAGATGACAAGTTAAATGTTAGGAGCACGATCCGCTCTGTCTGATGTCAGTTTTAATTCTCTCACATAAAAACAAGAAGAAACAGAACAGTTTGGGGTTTTCAAGAAAGGAGGCAGTTTAAACGAGTGAATGATTTCCTGTTTTTCCTCATGATAGAGACAAGCGATCTTAGTCTGTCTACAAGCGAAATAAACAAACCGTGTGAATTAAAATTAATTATATATTATATCTTATATTAAAAAGATGTCTTTTTGTATCTTTTATTGTGAAAAGTCGCTCAGTATAATTCTTAATGCTAACGTAATGACCACTTTTACCTCTATTTTCTGGCATTGAGCAATAACTTTCAAAGTGCAACAGTAGTGTCATCATTATTAGTGTTTAACCAGGCGGTCACAGCTCACTGTGCAGGGAGCAGTAAATACCAGATGAGTTTGCGGTTTTTGACACAACCAGGGTTAATCTTGATGAGAAATTTGGATTAATTTTTTTAGTCGCAGTTATATTCAGAAAACTGTGATTATAAGAGTCATTTTGGTCCATGTGTCTTGTGTTGTTTTAGCCAAGATGTCATCAGAGGAATGCAGTTTTGACTTACTGTATTTCATGTTTTCATGAACTGTACTGTACTGTGGGGTACACCAGCTGCACAGTGGCAGAAAGAGGCGCTTCAACAGGTGGTCAAGTCTGCACTAAGGACTTTTTTTTTTAAATACAGTTTACCACCTATCTCAGAGTTTTACACCAGCAGATGCAGAGAAGAAGCACCAGACATCATGAGTGACTCCATCAACCCTGAGCATGGACCGCAGCTCTGAAGCAGGAGACGGCGCATCAAACCAACAGACTGGGGAAAAGTTTATTATTCGTTTTATTTACCCTTTTCTGTGAAGGTTTTTATAATGCTCACTATTTCTAAAGGTGTTTGCTTCTTCACTAACTTCACATTATGGTAGCAGTAGTTTTTCCCTCCGCAGGTACTTGTTACATTAAGATCCAAGCAACTAGGGGTGGGAGAAAAAAATCGATTCACATAAGATCCGTGATTTTTTGTTTTAAATTGATTTTTATGTTCAATACTCAATTTTTTTTTCAAATTTAAGAATAAATCAAATAAACTGACTTACATGTGATGTGTATTTTGGGGGAAATATGATTCCTGGAATAGTCAGTAGACAATCATAATCATTCAACTGTTTCACTGGTGTTAAAAATGCAGACTAAAAATCGAGAAAATCAACGATATCATAGAATCGTAATATGAATCAAATCAGCATCATAACAAAAACTTTAGTAGTAAGAAAGAAAATCTCATCATGTTTAGTCATTTTTATTGATAATGAGTTTTATATTTGCTTTTCTCTCCTCCTTCGATACCAAAAAAAATTTTTTAAAAATAACACAAGTCGTATTTTGGCGACACAAATCGCTGCTCAACAGCTTGGAGCGACATTAAACTGACCTATGTTAATATCTACTGATGACTACCTCAGCTCTGTATGATTAGCACTCACTCAGCTACTGTCCTTTCCCCTCAAAAAGCATGAAACAGAAAAAATAACTGCCTGAGTGGATAAAAGTGCGAACATATGCTGCCGTACCTCGGGGCAGGCGGACGTTAAGCTCACTGCGTGCCACCTGCGCCTGCAGCGGGACGCCACCAGCGAGCCGTGAGGGACTGGGACTGCTGCGTCCAGACCTGACGGGATCTCCCAGCAGGCTGTTGCCGGAGTCACCATCGGTGGTTTTGGAGGAGCCATGGCTGACCTCACGGCTCAGCGGCCGCACCAGGCCGACCGCCAAAGATGACGACCAGGAGGAAGAAGGTTTCTGTGACAGGAAGGGAGAAAATGATCAGAATTGAATTTCTTTGTCACTGTTAAAGTTAAAAAATACTTTAAATTTGCCTAATTTCATTCTAAAAACACTAATTGGTATGCAGATTATTTGCTCCATTGGCAGCTTAGTCAATAAAAACAGAGGTTAAAATTCACTACAGCCTGAAAAAATGGTTTAAAATGAAGCCTAAAACCCCCAAATATTGATTTTACTATAAAAAAAAAAGACTAATTAACATCACTGAAACCATGATAAGCTGTTTGGTTTCAAAGTGATTTCATCAAAAACTGATTCTGTGAATATTCTGATCCATTTTTTCGCTAATTGCCCGATCAATTACTGGTGAAAATGGTGTCTCTGTTCGGTCGTGTTCATGCTCGCTGCTCGGTCTTTTGCTGCATTGCTCACAGAACAATGCATGCAGCTCAGCAGGTTTTCATTTCTCCAGTATGTCAAAAACAAACCTTCACAATATGATTACAAGGGCGTTTAAAAATCCTCTCTGTATGTGTGTCACATCTCTGCGCGGGGAAAAGGTGTGACAGTGACGCAAATGCACCAGAAAGTAATTCAGGAGGGAGTAAAGGAAAAAAGAAAAAAGCGTACGTTTTCCTCTATCAACAGCCCCCTATAATTTATCTTTGGATGAAACATAAGCTGCCAGCCACCCTGGTTACTATGGCAACTATCAAGTCAATAGCTGAGTTGTTCTGGCATCTGTCCCCACAGTGATTTTTTCTCTGGGTGTAAAGACACAGAATCTACTGTAATGCTCAAAGCTGTTAGACAACACGTCTGAAGCTTTCCAAGACACAAAATGTCTGTCGAGCCGCCAGCTGAGGCGTGTTAGATCTGTGAGCATGACGCCTGTTCAAAGACACGGGGAGGAAAGTGAGCATGTCAGGGAAGCAGCACACTGTGTTAGGATCCTGTGTTGTAAAGCTCTGCACTCATTTTTCACTCCTTTACTCCGAGGAAACTCCACACTGGCAACAAAAGAGTGAGCCGAGGTGTCAGAGAGCAGAGATAAAGAAGTGCTTAGAGCAGCACCTGCGCTGACCTCAGGCATCACTCTCAAACGGATTACCAGCTTCTCACCTTCTTCAGGGTGGAGCGGCTGCCCTGCATGTAGCTGCGATGCATCTCCAACACCTTCTGAGGCCGGCTGCGCATCCAGGCGCTGAGCGTCTCGATGGGGGAGCCATTTACACACCACTCAGTCACGCCAAATTGCCTTAGGTGGGCTCGAGCGTGGCTGGCCAGGGCTTTACGGTTCTCAAAGTAGAAGCCGCACAGCTCACAACTGGGGTCTGAAACGAAGAGAAGAGAAAGTAGAAAAAGGAGAGTACTTTATAAAGAGAAGAAACCCAGACCCAAAGAACCAGCCTTGGACAGTTTTCAATGAAGGAGAGGGGTCTCATTACAGAAAAAAACTTTTTCTTTTGGTTTTGAAAATGATAAAAAAGTCCTGTTAAAATTATTCAACAATCTTTTCAAGGATGAACATGAATTATATCATTATTCAGTATTTTATCTCTCTGTTTGGGACATTTCACATTGTATCCAAATCTGCAATCAGACTTTGCAGATGCTTTGAAAGTTTCTCTTGTCCCACCCTGCATTTCAAAAACAATCCCAGCATGATTTTATTATTTCATAAAAAAGCATTTTTTTAATTTTTCAAAATTTGGGACAGGGACAAAAAACTGAAAAAGTTGTGTAATATGACAAACAACTTCTGCAGATATATCTCTCAAATAATTGGTTTTGTTTGCAGCAGGTTAAGAGCATAAATTGGTATAAAAAGGAAACTACTAAGATGATTGGATAAAAATGTAACAACGTTCACCACCAGTGAGAGACTGTGTGAGCAAATGAGTCAATAATTTCTGGATGTTTCTGAGGAGAAAACTGCACAAATTTGAGAATTTAATCAGCACTATAACTGAAAATTTCCCAAAATATGAAGAAATCTCTTCGCAAGAGAGACACTGACGATCTGCATTAAAAAAAACAGTGACTCTGTAGAGGAAATCACCGCATGGGCTCAAAATCCACAGTTCATCACTGCATCCACAAATGTTGGTTAAAAGTCAACCAATGCAAAAAACAATGAAACCATGTAAAAATGCTCATGAATCAATGACTCATGGACACCATATTCTCCTATCCTGCCTGTTTCAGCACACTGTTAAAAAGCCATAGTGGTATAGGGGGTGCATAGATAGCCAGGGAAGACCCCCTTATTTCAGCGAGACAATAACAAACCATATTCTGCAGGTGTTACATCAGCATGGCTCTGAAGCAGGAAGAATGTGGGTGACAGACTGGCCTGCCTAGTCCAAGTTCTACAAGTCCAGACTTGTCACCCTAATGAAAACATTTGATGGTTCATAAAACAGAAGCTTCAACAAAGGAGACCCAGAACAGACAAGGACACAATCCACAATCAAATCTCCAGAAAGTGGTCTTCTCTGTTCCCAAACTTTAGCAGAGAGCTGTTGAAAGTTGAGGTGATGCAACATAATGGCAAACATGCCCCTGTCCCAACTTAATGAAATGTTTTCCTGGCATCAAATTCCAATTCATTGTTTTTTTTTCTCCACAAATAGAAAGCTAAAGAGCTTCAGTGTATCAGTGTGTATAATATAATAAAATCAAGCATGAATGGCTCACCTTGGTGTCCGTGTTTATCCGGGGAAGGTTTTCTCTTGTAGGAAAAGTCGTGTGGCACAGACGAGAAGGTCTTCAGGTGATGTGGCGAGGAGTGGCCAGTGTCTACTGATTGACCCCCCTCAGATAGGGGTCTTTTTCCTAGAGGAGACATCCTGAAAAACTTCCCTCCTGATAGGGTAGCAGATGTGCCGACAGACCCCAGGCCCTGCTTGTGTAGTCTGGATCCTGACTGCAACAAACTGAGGGGAGATTTACGATATTTGGACTGGAAGCTTGAAGCGCTGAGACCCTCTGAGCTGCCGTAGCTTTCCCACGGAGGACTGCTGGCTCCTGGGTTTGATTCTTTCTTCACCCCCTGGTCTGAGAGGGAAGAGGGGCCGGCCCCTCTTTTGTGCATGACCTCTCTCAGGGTGTCAATCGGTGAGCCGTTGACTGACCATTCAGTGATTCCCATTTGACGGAGGTGGGAGCGGGCGTGGCTGGAGAGGCCTTTACGGTTCTCGAAATATTCTCCACAGAACTCACAGCGGATGTCTCGAGTGGGCTCCACTTCATTCGTCATAGCTGTGGACAGTCCAGAGAGAAAGTTAAAAACATCGAACCTGACTTTTTGTGGTTACAGCTTAGGGTGCTCTCATATCAAAAAGTTTGGTCCGGTTTAAATGAACCAGAGTCTGTCTGGTTTGTTGTAGTGGTGTTTAAGATATAAATCTAATCTGGTGTGCACCAAAGAACAGTACTCGGACAACTTCACAAGAGTTTTTTTCCAATTTATCCAGACCCTGGTGGAGTTTGATGGTAGTACGAACATAGACCAACCTCAGTCCCACCTGTCTGCTGAATGTTGTGCTTTTCTGGATCTGACCCTCTACTGTGGCTAGTCCAGCATGTGTTAAACGCTGCAGACATAACTAAAGGACTGTGAGGGTGCACCTTTTTTTCTTGATGAATGTTTTATTTAGAGATATTATACGCTAAAAAATAAGAAATGATGTGCTTGTAATCATTAAAAAAAGCAGATGGATACAAAAACTGGACTTTGAGTTTCTCTAAAAAAGAATATGTCAAGAACTTTTTCAACTGTTTTTGTTTTTTTCACCTGGATGCACTACCATGGTTAGAGGTGTGTTTTACACCACTTCCCACCTTTAGTTTGTAAGTTGGTCCACTTCGCTCTACACCTTAAATGAACTGCACCAGAGTTCGCCTGGAAGCAAATCAAGATCCCCAGTTTTCAAGACCAGATTTTGGGTGTTTGGTCCACTCCAGAGTTGGAGCTTAGAGATCTTTTTCCAGCTCCTAACACAGTTTGGTCAGCTTGTAAATGTCGTTAAGTGTACACAGAGCAAACTTTAGGTAATTTTGAAACGATATATCAAAGTGCCCTCAGAATTTAAATTTGAGTTCACATCTACTCCAAGTATTACTGTATTGATGCAAATTACCACATCTGCAATACACTTGATTTCACCAACGTGGTACAGGTATGAAAGTGGTATTAACCTTCTCGTCTAAATATCTGCGAAACAGTCATCAAGTGTAATTCACAAAATGTTCACAAACAAGGACTGAGGTTACCCAGGTTGAGGGGGAACATGCTGTCAGAGCTGTTCCAGGTGAGAGTTTCAGAGGAACGACCAGCCGATCTCCCCACAGCTCCAGGCGCCGTCACCTCCAGCTGTACCGGTTCTGGTTTTAGCTTCAGGATAAGCCCACTTGATGACGTCAGCGGTGCCGGGCTGGATTTAGACACGGCGGGTTGAGGGGGACTCGAGGGGCGTGCAAAGGCAAAGGGCAAACGACTGATGAGGGAGGAAGAAGGAGAGGAGGATGCAGAGACAGGGGAGCGAGGAGGTCCAGGGGAGGAGGAAGGGGGAGTTTTTAGAGGCTTTGGAGGAAGAGCTCGGGGCAGGCCCCGTCTGGTAATGATCTCCCTCAGGGTGTCGATGGGCGAGCCGTTGACCGACCACTCGGTGATGCCCATCTGACGGAGGTGGGAGCGGGCGTGGCTGGAGAGGCCTTTACGGTTCTCGAAATATTCTCCACAGAACTCACAGCCGATTTCCTTTGGAGGTTCATCTAAGAGATTAGGGATCACTGTGGAGTTAATGTCTCCTATTAAACCCCAAAACCTCCAGAAGAACAACCCCAGCTTATAAACTGACAACAAATTATTTATGAAAAGAAAATCTGATCACTGTGTGTGAAGGATCCATCCTGTAACATAAAACTCTCTGATCAACACTCACTGTGAGGAAGAGCCATGAGCTCCCCACTGCTCAGGCGGAAGACCCTCATGGAGGAAGATTTGAGCCTCTTGGCAGGCGGGCCGAGTAGAGACGAGGCAGAGGAAGAGGTAGCTTTGGATGTGGACCCACCGCTGGCTGTGGTCACCTTATAGAGGAGAGATGAAGAGGAGGAGGAGGAGGAGGAGAGGTTCAGCAGGGAGGACTGCTTATGGGAGGAGAGGGTGGAGTTGAGGCCGCGTGGTTCCGTGTGGTCGTCCAGCTGCAGAGACCCGGCCTTGTGCTTGAAGTCATCACTGTCCATGAGCTGGTTCAGGAGGTCAATGGGAGAGCCCTTAGATTCTGAGTACTCCACCCCGAAGTGCCGCAGGTGGGCTCGGGCGTGGCTCGATAGACCTTTACGGGTCTCAAACCAGGCGCCACACAGCTGACAGACGATGTCCTTGTTGGCGTCCACCTCCAGAGCTGCATGTGGAGAAGAAAGAACTAAACTTAGACTTCAAGCAAAGTAAATGAAGAGAGTTAAAAAAAAAAAAAAGTTATGAGAGACACTCACTGAGGTTGAGAGGAGCGTCATCCTCCTGCGGGGCCCAGAGGGGTTTGGATGTCGTGATGGAGGACGAGAGGTTGGAGGTCAAACTTTTCATTCCCCCGGCCTTGTGCTCCAGAGAGCGCAAGGGGGAAGACACCGGCAGCAGCGAGGAAATCGGGGCTTTTCTCACCACAGAGGGAGGAGATCCAGAGTGAGGTGGGGCAGGGGAGGCGCCAGGAGAGGGTGTAGGCGTGGAGGAGGAGGAAGGTGGTGCTGATTTCGCTGCTTTGGCCAGGATAGACAGAGGGATGGGTTTCTCGTCCAAGTCCATGTCGTCTACCACCTCATCTTTCTGAGGATCAGATGGGGAGGAGGTCTTGGCTGCCGGCGGCTCTCTGTTGAGGTTTCGCTCCTTGGCAATCTGGTGGAGGAGTGTGATGGCTGCCCCGCTCTGCTCTGACACGCCGATGCCCAGCTGGCGCAGGTGGTAGCGGGCGTGGATGGACAATCCCCGCTTGGTCTCGAACCGAGCTCCACACACCTCACACTTCAGTTTGTGGACTATAAAAGACACAGAATATCTGGTTATTCAAAAATCAAGTTTTTGTATATTTTAGAAACCACATGACTGAAAGAGCGGCTCCGCTAAGTCGCTGCATTTGACCTGGCAAGACCCCAGAGTTTCTGATCCACCAGTTAGTTTATATGTACAGATAACTAATGTGATTTTCACAAAAACAGACTGAACAGTTAATCGGGTTAGCCAATTCCTGGCATTTTAAAACCGTTGTCATTGATTGATCGCTGTGCTCACGAAGCCAGTTGAAAAAGAATAACAAGTAGAGTCTACAGACACTGCAGGCAGCCTTGTCAATGTGTGATAGTTCATAAGCATGCTGTGCAATGGCTGTAAATAAAGTCACTATTTCTTCATGTGTTACTTCACTTTGATTGGCTGTTTAGCTTTTACCAAGTCTGGAAAGTGTTTTATATTAATTCTGTCATGATGTATGGAGTAATCTAGCTTAGTGCTGCTTTCGACATGAATAATAGTCAAGTTATAAAATCTATAGAACTCTTGATAACCGGCCTTTCATGAAGCAGGACAATGATGTACTATGTTTGCTGTCGGTATCAGTACCAGCCAAAATGAGATTAAAAACATTAGTTTATTGGATTCAACAAAAGTCTATTATCGTGCATCCCGCACAAACTGCTCCCTCAAAGACACCAGACTACACAGACAGGCGTTTTACCTTGGAGCACAATGGACTTGCTGGTCCTCAGTGACCTTGATCAGTCAGTTTTCGTGCGTGTTACAAAGATATTTTGTTACATCCTTAACTTATCATTGAAAACAAAAAAGCCCAGCAACAACAAAAACAAACACATTTATCAAGGTCATAGAGCTCTGCGAGGTGAAAGGGCTTTTGACTGAGTGTATTCTGCCCTCAGGTTTATATGCTGCTTTTCCAGTGGGTACCATGACAGGCAATCTACATAAACAATCCTGATATATATATATATATATATCCTTTGTCATTTATTCTTTAAGCACAGAGCAGAATAAAAACAAAGTTTGCAGAGCAACAGCAGGTGGCTGCAGATGTCCCAGAGGACAGTTCACCTCACTTACCCTCCTGTCCTCACCCAGTCTGCAGCGACACTGGTAGAGAAAGCTCTCATTAGCTCCGCAACACATTTGCCTACCTGTCTCTGGGGACCAGCCCTCTCTGATGTGTGTCACCACGCCTCTTCACCACCCTCAGGTCAGTCTTTACAATTTCCCCTCTGACAGCTCTGATAAGACTCTGCTACAGCAAATCCAATCCCTTGTCAACACTCGGGGGTCATTTCTCTCTCACCCTTAGTGTCTGCATCCTCCCCAGGAGAGGGGCTGTCTGTATCCACTCTGCACAGCCCTGTTTTCCCCCGGCTCAGACCGTCCGGCTCCTCATCTTCTTCCTCATTTGTTTCCTCCTCCTCACCTAAAACATCACAGACAAATCCATACAAGGGTCTTAATTAAAATGTCATTTACACCTACTGAGTGACTGGGACGATAAATCCTCTTAAAAATGTCCCACAAATCTGATTTTAATTTCCATGCTTCAATCAGGACACGCTCAAAGCAAGGAGACAGATTTTTCAGTTCATGAAAAATATAGAAAAAGACGCAGAAGAAGAGTGACAGCAGAGGAATACACCCAGTCTTTAGAGCTCTAGTGAAGTGGTGTGACCATGCATCCTTGTTTTAGGTGGACAAGTTGAAGCTGTCTCTAAAAACATATTGGTTATCTGAAACAGTAGTAAGCTGTACTAGCTATCCAGATTTACATCTACTGACATCCGTGCATGATACATTACGATCTGATAAGTCGATGTCAGTTAACAAGGCTGATATTTACCAGTACTGATGTTGAACTAATACATTGGTGCATCATTAGACAGTAAAGTCTGAGAAACTTTCCAGGAAAATTGGAATTTGGATTTAGTATCTAACATCTGTCTTTTCCAAGTTGATGTGACACATTTTTGCAGGCAATTTGACAAATAGGTGTCACCTTCTAACTTGGACATTCATTATGGATAGGGGGAGAGACATGCAAGAGCTGCAGGTCCAACTTAAACCCAGGATGTCTGCATGGCAGTATGACCTCTGTGTGTGGGACATGGGCACAGACCACTAAGCGACTCCTGTGGGTCAGGGCTTGACACTAACTTTTTGTAACAAGGGGCACATTCTAAGTTGAAGAAATAAGGAGCACACAAAGAAGTTTAGGGACACAATGAAAATTAATCAAATAATGTGTGTCTTATTGGTCGACATAAGTACTATTATTTGAAATCAATTTTAAGTCAAATGGTCACATGACATGAAAGCTGTTGAAGGAAAACATCCTTTTCTGAGACCATCAACCGGTAATTTATTGATGGTCAACACCCAACGTTGACAGCGAGGGTGCCGAGTAAATTTAACCACGCTGCTGTTGCTATTCCCGGTTATGTGAGTGAGAAGACACCGGTAGATCCGCAGTGAATGTCCATCAAATATATCATGAAATATACAATATACATGAAAAAACATTTGTTGCCATGGCTAAAAATTTTTATGTGCCCCTACCCACCAAACATCGGACGTCAAAAAGACGAGTCAGTATTGGGTTGGTCCGTCAAAGACCACATCTAGACGTCAGTGCGACGTGCAAAATAGGTTACAAATTTCAACGTCCAAATTGGACCTTTTTTGGAGGTCGCTCTGACATTAAGAATTTGGACGTCATCTGAAGCCCGAATTAGGACGTCGGCACAATGTGCAAAATAGATCCAAGATTTAGATGTCATTATTGGACCTCTTTTAGACATTGAAATGACGTCCACATTTGCCCCTCATTGTCGAAAAAATACATCAAATAGATGTCATTTCGACGTCACATTGCGCAGTGGGTAAATATATTTTACAATTCGCACACATCTATTTTTAGTCGCAAATGAAGTGAAATGGTAGCACTGTTGAGCCCTGTGGGTACCTTATTACTTAAACTCTGAACATACAACATAATTTCATTCACTGTTTTTTTTTAATCCAATATAGCATATTATACAATGACAGCTTTAAGACTGGGTTACTCTAGTCCAGAATACATTTATGTACGGCTTACATCTCTTCAGGTAGGGTGGAGGAATATGGGATGAAATGAGGCTAGATAGAAAGAACAGTAAAAGAGGAAAAAGTATAGATGCAATTGTAGAGTCTGACAAGTTAGTGTGTTGGTATTGGTATACCCAATTCTATCAATTTGCACAGCAGTATATCACATCCTAACAGTTACCTCAGTCATGATACACAAAACCTCAATTCTCCACCTTTTTTTTCTTTCTGAGATAATAACAGAGGGTAAAATAACAACAGGGCACCTCCTGTTTTCATTTCAGAAATCTGGCCACCTTCTGATCAAACATATTGCTTCTTGTAATAACAGCACATTATTTCAGCCTCTACTGTAAGAAAATGTGGATAAAAATAATGTGAGCCATGATTCCCTGTCAAAAAAAAAAAAGTAATAATTGCAGTAGTGTATGAAACAAACATGGCAGTCTCTCTCTGTTCCCCGCAGTCAGGCATTCCTGGGACAAAAGTGCCATTTTCTGCGACAAATCGGTAAATCAAAGAGACGTGGAGACAGACAATGCTTTTTGTCTGGTGGGCGGCTCTGCGCTTGTCAGTTCATCTCCTGACTGTAAAAGAGCGGCGATGTGACACCCCGAAGCGCAGCGTTATAACACCATCTATTATAAAAGAAGACAAAAAACCCCCAAAGCATTATCAGACTTTGATCCTTTAAAACAGGGAGCGAAGCAGCAAAGCCTTAACTTGACTTTACAGCCACCCATCCAGGAGGAGTAACCCTGACCGACCCCACACTTCCAAGTAAAAGTGATACTTCCATTACTTAGTTGATCCGGATAAGTTGTAATAAGATTACAGACTATCATTGCTCTCAGTCTGCAAAGTTAGCGGAGGATTTGGTGTTAGTTTGGTCTTAAAACATGAAGAAATGCGAGCACTTGAAAGCACAGCGTGTCCTCTATCAAAAATCAAAGCTAAGTAAAATGGCGAGGATTGGGCAACTGTAGGTAATTTTAGAGATCCTGCAGCACTGAAAATACTGGACGTCATCCCAGACGGGCACAATAAAAGCTCACAGACATTGAGGACGCACAAAAACTACAACTACAATATCACAACAGCGGACTAATCACCACTATCGATCCGCGTGTGCCAAACGGAAACACCACAAACACCGTCAGAGAGCAGCTTTATGAGCTTTTGACATGCATGACATGGGCTACCTGCATGGCTGGCATTGATTTTCTTTACGAGCTCTAACATATTCAAGAGTTTCTTTTTTTAATGGCTGTAGTCTGGATTCAATGTGACGGAAGATGCGGTGCGAGACGCGTAAAGCAACGCCGCCGTGTGATCTGAGGGCACGCGGTGCACAGGAATTACAGCGCGCGGTACTCACCGGTCCGCAACCGCAGTGCATCGGACTCCCGGCAGCTGAGGCCAGACAGTTTTCCGCTATTGTTTGGGTCTACGGGGAGGTGGAAGCAGCCATTTTGCCCCCATATGCACCGCTAAGCTAAGGCGTGACCAATCGAGTGGAGGCGGAGGTTGGGATAAATGCACCGAGTGCCACATCAACCATGGGCACGAGGGACTCTGTCTCCCTTTCTCTATCTCTCTTACACACACAAACGCACTCACGCGCTCCCTGATAGGGCTGGTTTACTTTACAGACAGCTTACTCATTTCAACATCATAGACTGTGCTCAAAAGGCAATAAAAAGCACACAAACTCATCAAAAGAAGACAACCAGCGCTTAAACTCTTATATCTGACTGCTTTATGCATCCAAATAGTCTTCTTTCATCCTTTAAGATGTTATCACGGAGCTGTACTGAGTCTTATGTCCAACACTGACCTGGTCACCAGGTAACAACTATCAGCAACCAGTGGTGTTAGAGGGCAAGGGTCAAAGGAAACGAAAGGGCACCTACTATATGCCATTTAAAGCTTAAACATTAAATTCAAGACACAAAACTAGTATATATAACCAGGTGAAATTAACAATAGTGGATTTTATAAAATAGGAACCGTTAGGAGGACGCCAAAGAGGGCACTACTATAGGGGAGAGTGGGGTAAGTTGAGCCACCCCTTGTTGCTTGGAAAAGGTAAAAGAAATTGATTGTGTGACCAAATATTTAGGCGATGGGCATCAATTCATGGAGTCTGTGAAGGTTAGAAGCACATGAGTGAAGGGGTTAGACATTTATTTCCAAAAAAATCATTTTTCACTCTTGAAAGTGAATTTAGTCTGTTACAAGTTTTATCTGAATTGTTTTCAGACCAAAAAAGATCATTTTAAATTTGTTTTAAACATCAATTTTGGTATCTATGAGCTACAACATGAGGTCAAAGACCTAGAATAAAAGTCCACCATTTTAGTTTAGAGGACTAAAAAAAGTCATAATAATAGTTCTGGGGTAAGTTGAGTCAGTGGCTCAACTGAGAGAGTAAAGGAGTCTGGTGAGAGGATCAGAGTTTCAGTTCAGATTGTTGAAAGGTGTTACTTTTTCTTTTCAGAAATACAGCTGTGAATGTTGCTTATGTATGTATGTATGCTTACCCCATACATGAGGTAAGTTGACCATAGGAGACACTCATTCTATTGGTTTGCAGGGATGAACAATATCTTGAAATATACGCAGATACATTAGTTAGAGACAAAACTATGATTGACTTGATGTAGTGATCCGAAATATGAAAAATGGCTCATCTTACCCCACTCTCCCCTACACTTCAACCAATGGAAGGTCATCCAGTGGGTACTCCATTTACACTGTATCTATTCTAAGGTCATTTAGACCCCTTTTTTTCTGTTTTCCACTGTGGGAGCATCTGAGAGGTTCATTTTGTTTACACCGTATTCACCAGAGGGCCATATAAAGGGCTTTCCTTTCTGTCCGCTAAAGGGCATTCAGAGGGTGTTGTGTTTACATTTAAATTACAAGACAAGCATTTGAGAGGTCACTTACAGCAAATCAACTGGAAGGGCATCTGAAGGGAAGTTTGTTTTTTTTCCACTTAAAGGGCATCCGGATCACACTGTTTACTTTTTAACCACTTATAGGAAGTTTAGGGGGAACTCATTCTGAACACTGGAAGGACATCCAGTTGGCACTTTGTTGATATTTTAGCCACTAATTGAGAGGGCAGGTTGTGATAGTTTTCTGTCCACTTCAAAGGCATCTGAGAGGGCACTCTTTTTACACTTTATCCACTGGTTGGACATTCAAAGGTACTTTTTTTGTCTTTTGCTAATTTTACAACTAGTAGGGCATCCATCTGGGAACTTGTTCACAATTCAAGCACTTAAACTCCATCCATTTAAGGGGCATCTGGTGGGTACTCCAGATGACAATCTTTTTACATTTTAAGTGAATTTAACCTCTGGTAGGCTATTTTGGAGGCACTCTGTTTAGATTCTATCCTCTGGAAGGACATCCAGAGAGAGCGATTTATAATGTTTTATCTATTACAAAGGCATCTAAGAGGGCACGAAGTGGCATTTTTTCAGACATGAGGGCATAAGGGGAGTGATCACCCCTTTACCCTTTTGAGTACACTGTCAGAAACAAACCAAATAACCACACAGCCAATGAACAGAAAAAAAATGCTTTCAAAAAAGGATCCATATTATGATTTCCCCTCATATTATCCACACAAAAAGCACTATGCACAATACTCTGAAGTCTTGAAGCTCATGCAATGCCAACATGATTCCTATTAGCTTAACTCCAAGCTTGGTTCTATTGCTTTCACTGAAATATCATGTTAGATTGCAGATTTGCGAATCTCTAAACACAAAGTACAACTTTTAGCACACTTAAAAGGACTAACCATTGAAATCCAACACCATAGTTACCAGTAAGTCCCACTAATTCTGCCCCTATGCAAATTCAAATGGAGTAACACTTCAATCAGTTGTCAGAGTATAAAAGAGTGACTTATGCACGTGTGTAAGCATACAGAGGAAGAGGAAGCATGAGAATAAAGAGACCTTGCAGGCAGCGGAGCCCACTGAGGCGGAAGTGGAAGGCAAAGCGGAGCCAATATTTTCAAAACCAACGATGTGTGTATTGCACATGGTGGTATGTGGTAAAAGCTCTACCAAGACAAAAGATCCCACACTTCACCAAAAAGAGAAAAGGTAGCCTTATTTTTACACACTTGTGTGCATTTAAAATATCTAACATTGCCCAAATTAGCCAAAACACACAAAAACACTTTTAATGTAAGCATTCTTAATTAATCATATCAGTGTTAATTTCATGCTTTTTACATCTTCAGTACTTAGGACTCCATCTTCAAGAAGAAAGAACAGAATTTTTAGCGCTGTGTTATTTTGAAAGAGGTTTGTGGAGTTTTCAAAAAAGAGTTGACTCTCTTGAGTGTGTGCCTCCAGTTTTTATCAATAGTTTCTGAAAATGTTTGGAAAAAAGTGTAAAAACTTACCTTCACTTTCTTCTTCAACATCCTCCTTCTTGCAGTGTTGTGGAGATGCTGAAGGAAGTGCATCAGTGACGGCAGCACTCAGCATCCTTTCACTTGTTTCTCCTTCCAGTTTTACCTCAATGACCCCCTTCCTGCCTTCCTCTGCTTCCCTCTCCTCCTCCCCCTCCTCGTCTTCCTCTTCCTCGTCGTCGTCCTCCTCCTCCTCCCCCTCTTCCTTCGGGGGAGCAGTGGGGATTACAAGGTCTGGCCTACTGGAGAACAACTCCCTTAAGATGTGGATAGGTGAGATGGTCACGTCCCAGTTAGTGATGCCAAAGTCACGGAGGTGAGCCCGAGCGTGGCTGGAGAGACCAGCCCGGGTGTCGAAGCCTGCACTACAGAACTCACAGTGCATGACGCTGAATGTGTCTGGATCAAAGTTGGCTACTGTGGAAAAAAGGGGGAACACCAGTGTGACTTAGACATGTGGCTGAATATACAGTGCTGTATTGTATCACTGTAAACTGGTAAAGGTAGATGGCAGACCAACAATAAATTTACTTCTGCTTCAGTCTGTCACCATCCATTACTTTTTCTGACTTTCTGTAAGTCCAGCTCTGCAAAAGGTTGTTTCTGTCTGACTTTTTTGTCTCTGTCCGTAACTCTTTTTAATCTTATTTCTGAAGCAGATTTCCACAGTCCATCCATGTGTCTCCATCACTATCTACTAAAACTTTCCTGGTCTAGATAATTGATGCAGAAGGCTGTCTACATATGGGTCTGGTTCTGCTAAAGGTTTCTGTCTGTTTAAACAAAGTTCTTTTTCTTTTTCTGTCATTGGTCACTGCATCTTTAGCAGCAGGCTTTGAAATTGCCTATATTGATGTATGCAATTGACAGCAAACTCTGCCAATCACGAGGCAGATGGCTGTATGCCTATGAGTCTAGTTCGGCTTAAAGTTTCTACCTGTTACAACTGAACTTTTTCTGTCACAACTATTTGCTTATTTAAAATCACCCTTTAATACTGCCTGAAATGCTTTGCAATATTTTCAGCTGAAAATATGCTGGTCATTGGGTAGATGGCTACACACCTGAGTCTAATTCAGCCTGTAGTTCTTGCTGCCTGTGTATTTGTTTTTGGGCATCACTCTTTGTCATTATAATCGGACCAAGGATTTTACTGTATATTTGTCTCGATAATTATTCTTTCTGTCTCTCTATTTCAAGGTCTCAGCACAGCTAGTTGAGGCTGTCGACGTATGAGTCTGGCTCTTCTCAGGGATTTTGGCTTAAATATTTTCCTTACTCTGTCATAGGTAGTTGCATCTTCAGAAGCAGGCTTCAGTGTTGCCTAAAAAGCATTGCACCATTTACAGTTGAAAGTCTGCTGGCCATGAGGCAGATGGCTGAAAACCTATCACTAATTTTGTACCTATCTAACTCATCTTCCTTGCCCGGCCACATTGAGACAAATGGCAGTCTGCATATAGGTTCATGCTTAACATGTTCATGTGCTCTAGCTTAAGTTTTGGATTGTTGCAAAAGCCTTGTCTACATGTTGATCATCTATTGGCAACTACCTCCACCCTGCTAAACAGAGTAGACACTACTTCACCTTTCTGCCCAGTTCTGTTCGAGCGATCTGCCTGTTGAAAGGACTTTTCTTTCTTTTCATAGCCCTGTTGCTCTTTCTGCTGTATTACCTGCTGTTTGATCCATCCCGATTGACTAAAATGTTCCTAGTTTGTCGTTAATAATGTTAATTTATTGTGATTTGCTGTCAAAAGTGTTTTCTAACCCAGTCTAATGTTATTCCCAGAACCTCTAAAAGCAGTTCACATCAGGAGCTCCGACTGGTCATCATGTATTAGATTATGAAGAAGGGGGCTCCAAACAGGGAGCTAAATCTGAATTGACAGAATTCAGAGGCAGCTAAAGTGGATTATTATGTGGCTAATGTACCCCACAGCTGCTCAGGGTCATTATGCTAAGCATATATACAGTTTGTCTAAGCTTGTGCAGTTGCTTTACATCGACACAGAAGAAGACCCCCATGCAAACAACAAGCCGCTGACCTTTTTTCTTCTTCTTTTGATAGGAGAACTTCTTCTCGATCGCATTGACTTCCTCGGGGGAAATAAAGTGACGCACATTGTAGCTGACGCCCACTCGGTTCAGGTGGCCTCTCACGTGATTGGCAAGCCCAATGCCATTATGAAATCGATCGGGGCAGTAGGGGCATTTCCTCTCCACACTCTTAAGCGTCTCTGTGTCCTCATCAATCTTGTCGTTGTCTTCATCCAAGATGCCCTCTGACAGTAAACGTCGCACATGCTCCTCATCAATGTCATATTCATCGTCATCGCTATCAATCTCCGCAGAAGCGGCGGTAACCCGGTTGCTCCTCCTCAAAAAGAAAACCTTTGCGTCTTTCTCGTCTTCCGGCGCATCTTCGTCCTTCACGCTTTTCTCAGGAGGGAGGGACAATGTGGGACTCTGCTGCGCTGAACCGTCATCTAAAAGGAAAAAAGAGTAAATACTGAGTAGAAAGAGGATCCCTTATGAGCATCAACAATAGACACTGAAATATGAGTAAACTAGGATTGTAATTTTACAACCCCAATTCCAGAATAGTTGTAATACTGTGCAAAACGTTGGTGATATTAGATTAAAAGTTTTGCAAATCGCTTTTACCACATTTTTTAATCTAGAATTGTGCAAAGACAACATATCAAATGCTGGAAGCTGAAAAAAAAATTTTTTATCATGATGTGGTAATTTTTTAAAATTAGTGACAAGTTGGACCCCCGTCACCTTTACTCCTTTGGTCTCACCTGTGTTTGACTGGACTCTGGTGTTTGATTTCCCTTCTACAGGTGAGTCAGCTTCTCGTTGGGGACTTTCTATCTCAAGCGCTGTGCTTTGATCTCTTTCCTGCTCTTCTTCACTCCTAGGCGGTTCCTCTTCATTCTCCATGCTATGAAACTTGACCTGGTTGGTCCAGATCTTCCCTCTTCTGCTGAATCTCCTGTTTTTTCCACACCTGAAGACCATCCTGCTGGAGGGCCGAGCAGCATCACCATCTTCAGGGGATGTGAGTCCTTGCTGGCCTTTGCTTTGAGCTGCATCCGTTTCAGAGAGATGTTCAGGATCTGGGCTGGGTTTTGAGACTCGAGTAGCCACATTGGATCTTAAATGCTGGCCCGTCTCATTAGTCTGCACCCCACTGATGGAAGCCGGTCCTTGGTGAACGAGTTTCTGGTGTTCCCTCATTACAGATTGACTTGAGGTCTTGAAGGCACAGTGACCACAGGACAGAGTATCAGATCTTGAGCAGGATGGTGACCCCGAGGATGGTGAGTTGGACTGTGGAGGTTTTTTCCTGTTGTGGGTCTTGGTGTGATTGGCCAGCGCCTGCGGGGTTCTTGTGCTGAAGTTGCACTTGGTGCAGATGAAGCGGCGGCGGTTTCCAGAAACAGCACAAGCCTGAGGGGGAGATCGAACTGAACTTAGAGGAGTTGCATCAGAGTCCAGAACTACTGGATCTGCTCCAGGTGTTGGGGAAAGAGGTGCAGATGAGACTATTTCTGGGTCTGACATTTTGCCTGGAATCGACGCTGGGCCGGCATCTTGCTTAATATCTGAGTCCGGGCTCATGTGTTTCGCCAGCTTGGCATCGACCTCTTCTGTCTCATTTTCATTCAGTTTCTTGATCTCCTCCAGGATCTTTAGTCGGGACTCTTCGTGGCGTTTGTGGTGGTCTGCCAGAGCGAGACGATCTGAGAGACTCCAACCACACTCTACGCACTGAAAACGTCCTCCTTTACCTGACCGCCTGCCCCCGTCCGGCCCATTCTCACAGTGCTCGACTATGTGCTCCCGCAGGTGCTCCTGCTTTTTGAAGTAAATGCTACATTCAACACAGGTGAAGATTTCTTTACTGCTCCCCTCTTTGTCTCTTTTTACACCTTTGTCTCTGAACTTTATCGGTTCGTCCAATTCGTCAAAGTCGACCTCCTCAAAATCATAAACCCCTCCACTTCCATCCAGCTGTGCCGGATCAGCAGGTTTTGGTTTTTGTGGACTCGCTCTTGCTCGCTTGCCGCTCACAGGTGAAGTGCGCTTCAGTGTACCCAGTCCTGAGAAGGGCCTAAGCAGCACCCTCTTCTTCCTGCAGCGCTGGATGAATGTGCAATGAGCCCAGGGAGCAGGAGGGGGACTCTCAGGGTCTGAGTCTCCAGGGAAGCTGTATACGTCTCTCTCAGGCTCCTTGGTTTCTTTCCCTTTGGGCCTCTTCTCATCCTCGCTATTGTCTGCCTCCTCCTTCTCTCTGTCTGTTTGGCAACCTTCCTTTGGTTTAACTTTGGACAGAAACAGCTCGGCTCCTTCAGTTACATTCCAGACTTTGCTGTCTGACACTGTGAAGAGAAAACAGACGAATTATCAATGAAAGGAGCCTAAAAATAAACACAGAGATACCAGCAGATTCGGTTTCTTCCTTATGGCTCTTACATTCTGTTGGACCAGGCTGGGATGTATTTGGCTCGTCTGTCTTTGTGCTCTCATTGTTGATGTGGTGGTGCCCCTCATTGGGGGCGGGTGAGTCAGTCTCGCTGCGCAAGAGCTTCCATTTTTCCGGCTCTCGGTCCTCTTCACTATCAAGTCTGGACAGGATAACAATTCATGACTTTGTGAGGAGTAAAAGCAGCAACTCTTTCTGAACAATAATTCCTTAACTAAACATGTGAGCTCTTATCTTGTTAATCCAAAAGTCAGAGAAGTTTTGTCTTTCTAGTACTTTGTTTAAAACTTTAGCGGTGTCTCAGTTCAGAAGCTGCATCCTTCAAAGGCCTATTTGCGTCACTGATAGGCTGTCCTATTTTCTTGGCTCCCTCAAATGTGGCCAACAAATTTTCTACTTTTCTGGAGCAGCAGAAGATGCATCTGGTGCATCCTTTGCAGCCCAACATATTCTTCTTCTTTGCCAATTCAAACTGGCTCTCAAGAATCTAATCTATGTTTTCTAGATCTCTGTCATGATTCTTGTAACGTCTGTGTTAAACACTTTTGAACTGCCGTGTTGCTGAAATCTGCTTTATAATCACACTTGCCTTGCCTTTTTCACTGGTACTACACTACAAATGACACCTCTCAACATCTCTCTCCTGTGCATCCTCCTCCTCCTCACCTGAGTCCAGAAGAAGGGGATCCTGGGCTGTGAGCAGCTAGACCATGAGGGTTAGAAAAGTGCTGTAGCTCCTCCTCTGACACACAGCAGCACACAGAAACACACAACCACAACAACATCACTTCACAGCTTATAAAGTTACAGTCAGAGTTACAGTCACACTCAGATACTACAGAGAGAGAGAGAGAGAGGAAGATGAGAGACCGCTGACTAGATAAAGACTGAATCACATTTAAAACAATAAGAGGACAACGAGGATAAGCTCTCTCTCCTCTGCTCTGCTCCGGACTACATCTTCTGAATCACTGCTCTGCTTATCTTGAGAAATGTGCAACAAGTTTCAAACAGAGATGAAGTCATGTGTTACCATCTAGTGTTTCCTTTTCAGAGTCAGAGTCCCAGCTTAAGGAGGAAGGGAAGGCCGAGGACCTGAATCTCCTCTGTGCGCTCCTCCCTGGGTCTGTGCCCTCAGTCTGCTTGGGGCCCACGTCTTCAGCCGGGGTCCACGAGCATTTAGGAGACATTAGGCCATCACTCACATCTCGAGAACACGAGGACTGGAGGCGATAAAAGAGGACAAGACAAAATTTAGACGAATGTTTCAACTGAATGTCACTATCAAGTGAGGACTCGACGGTAAAGATCTATTATTTCTACAGAGGGCAGACCTGCTTGTGGGCGCACTGATACTCTGCAATCTGGCCCCTAAAGTCCAGTTTGTTTGGACAGTGAGTGCTCTGTACAATGTGTAGGCACATTACGCTTCCTTGGAGCGACCTCAAAGCTCCTGATTTTTTTATTCTCCCTCTCAAACACCTCATGTCACATCAACCGAGGGGTTCAGAGAAAACAATCAGACCTGAAGCTGCCAGTATATCAGGTTTGCTCTACAAATACTGTCCCAAAAATTCCCCCTTGATTCAAAAAATGAGCGGGAAGACAGTAAAAAGATGACTCTCAAACTGGCGGAGGGAGTGGAACAAATGATTGAGACACTTACTCCACACTGACATATAAGAGGAAGTGGAAGGCTCTGCTGCTTAGACTGAAAATAAACATTGAAGATGGTTTTCTCCACAGTCTGTATATCATATAACAACAAATAAAACATGAGGTAAAATGATAAGACAGCTCCGTAACCCTAAAAACTCTGGTACAAGCTTTACAAATTAAAATTAAATGTAATGTTTTGGATGTTTTTAGTATTTTTTAAATGTCTGTAAATGTTGTTTAAATGCAGACAGGGCCTTTCAGAGCCAGGACTCTGTAATTTAATCCAAAACTGGCAGAAAAAAAAAAACTCTGACACTAAATCGGTAAGGCCTCAGTCATGTGCTCCATGTTGATGTACATCACTTCTTACAAAATAAGAACATTATATAACAAAGAAATTTCTTTTAATGAGGTAGAAAATCCTGCCCAGACCAGGAGTCGTGTGAGTGGAATACAGCCTGGTGTTGGGTCCTAGGGGCAAGTGTACTTCAGCAGGGTAAGGGGCAATCGAGGGTGAGAGCATCCTTAGTCTCCAAAAGTAGTATGGGAGGCAGAGCTTTTGATCATCAAGCCCCTCCTTTAATGAGGGATCTTTCAGTCTAGGAGTGAGGCAAACATCTACTTTACTTTTAAAAGGAGGCTTATTTTTAAATTGCATATTGTTTTGGCCGTAGGTATGCTGCTGTAGGCTTGGACTGCCACAACACCTCTTCTTATTCCCTCCTTTTTCACTCTCTGTCTATTTCTTATTATGCTGAAAAAAAAAGATGTCAGCACTCGCAATAAAATTTACAGCTTCAAATAAAAAACATCGACCTATCATTGATCTTCAAAAGTTGTAAGCTTAACTGTCTTTACTTTTGCGTGTGTACCTGGAGTCAACACCTGTTGAACACACCGCCTCTTTGTCTTATCATGTGTGTTACTAACTAATGTATATCTCTCCTTCAGAATTTTCTATCCTTTCATCTTACAGATTGTGATGGATTGAAATTGCAGACCGCCTGCTGCCGTGGACAGACTCCCCTTGCTGCAATTACAGTTACCAGTCATGCTTCATTATCATGATTACAGCTGCTGCTGGTAATGATAGTCATAATATGGTTTTTATTACTGGCTTTGCAACTTCCAGCCTCCACCGTCTGCTCGAAGTTTTGTCGCTGTCTGTCCATCTGGGAAGCTTCCTGTCATTGTGTTGGTCTCCATCTGTCTCTATGCGAATTCCTGGACTCAGCAGGTCATGGCAAACGGTTGTCCACCAATGAGTCTGGTTTTGCCCAGGGTTTCTGGCTCTAAAAAGGCAGTTTGTCCTTGAAACTGGTGCTAAGGATTTGGGGTAATAAACGTTGTGCAAATTAGAATCCCAACAGGATGTGAAGAACCTGGATGTGAAGCGATGCAAAGCTGTTCAATGATAGGTTTAGTTTGCCTGAACGTACTTAAATTCCTTGTTGAAACGCAAGAAGTCAGGCTTTCTGGATGAACTTGTTTTTACTGATTTTAGTTCCTCTGTAAAAGTGTAGTTGTTTTGTTGGTGAAACTTAATATTGCTGCCATTCTTAGCTAGGTCTCCCTTGAAGAAAAAAAATATCTGATCTCAGTGTAAGCAATCTGGCTAAATAAAGGTTAGATAATAGAGAAAAAATAAATAAACTGGTGGTGTATTTTTTAACATCCTCTTAATTCTGCTGCTGTTGCATGGATTGCAGGACATGTTGCTCCAGTTTTGCCTTTCAAAGTGAGTTGTTGCCCAGTGGTTTCTCATGCTGCTCTTATAGCCTATGTGTGCTTACTAACTGTCTTTATTTCCAACTCTGTAGACCAGTTTAAGACTGAAACTAACATTTTTGGCCACAGTGTCAACAGGCAGAGATTACACATACCAGACTTCTCTCTGTGGATTGATTTAATGTGGCGTGTGTGATCAGGTTGTCCCCAGCATTACTTGTGTTACTGTGAATTAATCTCTTTTGTCATGACGTTTTGACCAGTCAGACCAATCAAGTATGTAACACAACCTGGTTAGGATGAAGGATCTTTTTAAAGGGATATTCTGGCATAAAATTGATTTAGGGTCAAACACACCGTAACACTGAGTTAGACAACCCCTCAAGAGATGAATGTTGCAGACCGCTTGCTTCTCTAGTTTTACCAACTTTAGTAACGACCGCAGGATAGCAATACACAGTGGTCTGAGGAGCCATAAACAAACCTCAACCAAAACACCACTCTATAGCCACAAATAATGCTCAGAACAGCACCTAACTTCATCAACAGTACATATAGGGTCCCAGCTACAGCACTAGCCACCAAACATGTTTTTGGCTTTGCCTAATTTCTTTAGCAAAGAGACTAAACACAACTCACCTACACTCTTCCAGCAGCCGCTTGTTTGTAGCGAGACCTCGGGCTAGTCCATTACAGACTGCAGCGGGGTGACGCAGCTCAAGGAAGAACATTTATGATCATTACTTAATCATTTCCTTGAAGTAATAATCATCATATTAATCTTTTTGCACTGCAGGCACGGTAGTTCTTCTACCTCAGTGTATCAGTCTGATTGCATTTCCATGAAGAAATGAGCTGTGTCCCCCCGCTGCAGTCCGTACTGGACTGGCCAGAGGTCTCGCTACAAACAAACGGCTGCTGGAAGAGAGAAGGTGAGTTGTGTTAAGCTACTTTGTGAAAGAAATTAGGCAAAGTTAAAAAGATGTTTGGTGGCTAGTGTTTTGGCTTGGACCCTATATGTACTGTTGATGAAGTTAGGTGCTGTTCTGAGCATTATTTGTGGCTATAGAGTGGCGTTTTGGTTGAGGTTTGTTTATGGCTCCTCAGACTGCTGTGTATTGCTATCCTGCGGTAGTTACTAAAGTTGGTAAAACTGGAGAAGCAAGCAGTCGGCAACATTCATCTCTCAAGGGGGTGTCTAACTCGGTGTGTTTGACCCTAAACTAATTTTACTCCAGAATATCCCTTTAACTAGTGCTCAAAGAAAAGATTTAATGGAGTATAAGTCAAGGACAGTTTGATGATGATCTCTAACCTGTAAGGTGCAGCTGAGGAAAGTATCAGGGTTTTGTGCTGAGTCGAAGGATGGGGGCCCATAGCTGGTCCCTGGGGTCAGGGGTCGCCCTTCTGGCTCCATGGTCCCCCAGAGAACAGTATGGAGTCCCACTGGTGACCAGCTGGCCTACATTGTGCTTTTTCCTCTTCTTCTGCAACCATGAAACATACACACACAAACAAACAAACACAAGAAAGAATAAAAGTTTCTGATGCATTTAAAGTTTCAAATATCATCACAACAAACAAGGGGGGGCTTCTTACTGCAGTCACCTTCATGTACAGTATTTTTTACACTCAGCAGACTGTTCAGAAGAATCATAAAGTATATCAGCAGTGTATAAAAGTGTTAAATCTGCAGAATCTGCTCAGCTCTGCTCCTCCTCAGCTCTTTTTTCCAGCTGTAGTTTTCGGACTGCTTGACCTATTTTCTCAATATGTCTGGTCTTAAAGAATGAAACAGTGCGCCCAAATGGTTACATAAATAAGTGGCCTTTATATTCAGGCCCATGTCCTTTCCTGCTGCCCCTCTCTAAAAGCATAAAATACCCGGGCACATCAAGGTATCCCTCGGGTCTGCGTCTGACTCTCCAGAGGACGAGGCTCGTATCGATCCGGTCTCTGTCAGGTGACTGTAACAACAATGCATCCACGCACGGTTGTATTTGACAGCCATAACGCCCTGAAACTGCAGCTTTTTTAAGTCCAAATACTCACAGAAATCGGCCTGGTTTGCGGGTCGCAGAGGAAGCGGGCTGTCTAAGCGCCGTTCGTCATAGTTTGGGGACGGAGCTGAAGCTTTTCCGGCCCGGCACGATGCCCTGCTGTGGGTTTGACCGCTCCCGTGGACAAACTTGCTCTTTTAGTCGCTGCTCGGGCTTCTTGCATGGATCCCTGGAAGATGCCAGACAGAGGACTCCATGTTATTTGGCTTGCAGGCACGCCACGGCTGCGTACGTAACGTCAGCGGGGAGGGCGAGGAGAAGAGTTTCGAGTAAAACACCGGAGACAAGTTTAATAAGTTCGACTTTTACACCAGCTCTGATTTCATCCATTTTACGGCGGAGCTACGCCGAATTATGACAAAGTCCTCGTCTTCCTACGCTTTTTAATTATTATAAAATCCATCTGTGTGACAAATAAGGGACTGGACATGACCCAGGAAAGAGTAACCTGCTCATTTTAAAGAGTCTGTCTCAATTACGAGGAAAGAGCAGCCGTTTACGTTATCATTGTGCCACTTTCATTTGTGCTGTCTGCATCTATCAGGCATACGGATGCATTTCAATGTAAAACACGGTTTATGAAACATTTAAAAAGGTACATCTCGAGACAAAATTAGGAAACCTGCGCTTATTTATCATTTATAACTAAAAGTAAATGAAATCCGTAATGCTGGACATCTAAACTCCATTATCTTTTTATCTGACGCCCTCTAACGGTGTGATGCGGAACTGCGAGAACGGAGTACTAAAGGTGACAGGAGTGCTAAAATTAATTTTAATGATATAATGATATCAAATAATGTAACTTTTGACAAGATTTCTTTTTACCTCCTTATAAGCAATTCAATTCTTAACTCTGACATGTAAAATAAGACATTTTTCTGGACTTGTCAGGCGAATTTGGCTAAAAATGAAGTTAATTAGACTTTTCGAATAAAATTAGACAAAACCACTGCTAAGATTTAATTGTTTTTGCAGTTTAGTTTATTTTTAATCATTTTTGATTACATACCTTGTATCTTAGATCATTACTCAAGAGAAGAAGTTTGATTTCTCACATATTGTTAGTTTTTCCCCACGCAACTTTCTATTTCAAGTCCAGACCTGTTCACTAAAAGGACTACCAGCAGAAAATATACAATTTTGTTTACTAAAAGTAAATCAGCAGGCTGTGCTTTAGGCTTGTTTTATGGTGGTACTTTGAATATAATGCCAATCATAACAGATTATTATTTGTATGGAAGTACAAAGCCATCCCTTTAATATTCACTTCTGGGTTCGACTCTGGGTCAGGGCATTTCTGTATGGAGTTTGCATGTTCTCCCCGTGTCTGTGTGGGTTTACTTCAGGTACTCCGGTTTTCTCCCACATCCCAAAAACATGCAGAAATGGGGTTAGGTTAATTGGTCACTTTCAAATTGCCCGTAGGTGTGAATGTGAGCGTGCAATGAACTGGCAACTTGTCCAGGGTGTCTTCTGCCTTCGCCTGAAGATGCTGGGATAGGCTTCAGCCCCCCCGCAACCCCCAGTGGTAATAACAGGGAGAAAATGGATGGATGGAGTCCCAAAAAATCTGTAACTATTAATGTAAAAAGTTCTGTTTGATGCTGTGCTTCTCAGCAAGTTGAGTTTTGTAATCTAAAATGATATTTTTATGTTTTGACACATACTGGTTGAAAATAATCACTTGTAATGTAACAACACAACCTGACTAACCTGCTTCTTTAAAGCTAAATGAAATCAGCAACTGAGGGTGAAAACCTTGTCCACGAGGGGGCGCCAGAATCAGCACCAACAAGAGCTACAAAGAGATTTTCAGTATGTTTTGTTAAAATCAGTGCATACATGTCAAATATTGATCTGCAAAGAAACCAAAAACTACTGCTGTAATACGAATACTGTGGAGTAAAAAGTAAAACTGTTTCATTTAACCTCTTACGTAAAAACAATGAAATTACTGTCCTTACATTCTTTATTAACACTGCTGTTCATAGTTTTCACACTGGATACAAAAAAAGTCAACAATCATGACAAAAGACTGAAAAAAATTACATTTATTGATACATTTTGGTTTGTCCAAGACTCGTCCTCTTCTCAAGCCAATCATCATTACTTCTTCACTTCCTAAAATGAAAGCAAAAAGGAAATATTAAAATGCAACGCTTCACCAGCAGTGGGAGGAATTTATGTTTATGTAAAAACAGAAGGTATTAAAATTAAATGTTGATATGACACTCCTGCTGATGTACCCCGAAGTGCTCCCAGTTTCTGATCTCATCGTAGAAGGCGTCTCCAGGACACAATGTGTCCACCACCTGTCTGTGCCCCTGCAGGGTGAAATTGGCTTTCAGATGCCCCCCACTGACCGCACAGGATGCCAGCTGATCTCTCACCAGCCCCATGGAGTGCTGAGAAGGCAGACTGGAAGTGTAGTCTCCGATGAAAGACACGCCGTAGCCTATGGAGTTGTGCCCCAGGGTGTGGGCCCCCTGCCAGTGCCAGCCTCGGCCCTCGTAGATGTATCCATCAGAGCCTGCAACAAAGCTTCAAGACCACAGAGAGTCTTAAACATCAGGAGTTTGACGCAGAATTTCACAAATGACTTGGGATCCAAAATGCATCAGCGTGCAGAGTGACATTTTACAGACTTCCTCCTATATTAGCTCCACCGTAACAACTTCCTTCAAAATCTAGAATGATATTTCAAACCCTTTTTTTGCATAAAGAGCCCTTCATGATCCCACATCATCACACCATCAAGAGCTTAAAGGTGCAGGCCTGCAGTCTCCAGGGTTTGACACACAGCTGCTTTCTCTGCATGTTTGTATCTGATTTTACGTGAATTTCATTATGTTGCGTTTTTCTGAGTATCATGGGTCCCTGGGGAGCTTCAGCATTGCCTTTGACATCTTTGAGGCCAAATTTGTTTCCCTGACCCAAAACCTGCTTTTTCCTACAGGCACGTGTTCGGGTGATTTTCACAAAGGCAATAGTGATAGAGGGTAAAGTAGGTTTGGGTGGATTTAATAGCTGCATGTGGGCAGTAAGGTCAGTAAGAGTGGTCCTGGAATTTGCATGCTATCTTTATTTAGCACAGTGGTTATGAATAACTATCACAAAGTAGTGATCTTAAGGGAATTCATATGGTGATAAAAAATATTTGGTTCTCTCTCCTGTAGCTGTTATTGTGCCAAGGACCCTGAGTCTGCACCAGGGAAGACTCACATGCCCCAGGAATGGAAAAGAAACTAAGTTTACAGTTTCTATTTTTTGTTCACAAATACTTAATGTCAGTTATTTTGTTTCATTTTTTTATGGTCCCCTCATGGCACTTTTTTTTTCTCCCTTTGGATATTGCACAGTCATCATTAATAATTGAGGACAAGTACTTTTTCTTGGGTACATTATTTTGGGTAAAAATCACCTGGCGATAGTGATGCTGTTATTTATTTTAGTGATAGTGTTCTAGGGTTAAGGGTATAACAAGTCAAAACAAGACCTGAAACTGTGTGTTTATTTTGCACAGATTCTTGTCAGGACATGAGATTTGTTATGATTTGGTGCAGTATGAATAAAACAGGATGAGAAGTTGTTACCTGTAGCCGATGTCGTCCCAGCCTCTGTCATCCTGGTGGAAGCGCTGCATGGAGCGCATGTCCTGAGAGCACTGCCGGAAGGTGAGACAGGGTTGTCCAGGTATGAAGGTGTGGTGGATGAACATGAAGGAAAGAGGTAGAGACAGGTTGGTGGGGGTTCCTCTGTACGGCTCCGCCCTCCACATGCAGCGAGGAATTATGGGAGGGCAACCTGAAACAGATCAATAACAGTGGATCAATATTCACCAGGTGAAAGACAATGGGTGTTATCTTATAATCTGTGTTTTGATTTTCTTCTCACCTATGAACTTGCTGACAAACTCCCTCACTCCCTTTCTCAGCATCGCCTTCAGCTGCTTCTTTTCCCTCACCTCCATCTTTGGGCGCCCCTCCAGTCTCCTCTGCAGCTCCACTGAGCTCACCCCCCCTCTGCTCAGCACTGAAACCTCCACCAGCTCTCTGAAGTTGTCCCGGCGGCGCCGGCTAATGAGACGTGGGGCAGAGTCCAGTCCTCCTGTGTCCAGCTGGTGGCAGTAGTACTCCATCAGCAGGCGACTCAGCTTCAGAGGATGTCTGGATCTGTCAGAGACCTCCATCCCTAAAACCACGCCATCCATGCCCCCGTTGATCTGAGCCGTGGTAAGCAGAGCTGGGCTGTCCAAGAGGGTGAAGACCTGAGGTTGAGTGACACTGTCCCAGCAGCCATCAGGTCCCAGGAGCTGATTTTTAGGAGATCCAAACCTCTGAGCCTGGTCCAGGTCTTTAGTCAGTGTGAGCTGGTACAGACCCCGAACAGACCTGTTAGACTTTGACAGTAAACCCGCCTCTAAACCCAGGAGGAGCGGTGTGAGGGAAACAGTGGTGCCATCAGGAGTCAGGACCACACCTTCCTCTGCAGCGTCCTCACTGACTCTGTGCTGCACAGATCTGCTGATGTAAGCTGAAAGGTCAGAGGTCATGTCAGAGCCACCAGAGTCTGCATCACCCAGGAAGTGCTGAATGAAAGCGTCAATAAGGCCGCCAGCTTTGCGAAGACTCCTCAACACAGAAAGCGGCTTTGACTCGGGGTCCTGGTCTTCCACCTGCTGCACTGCCCTGATGAAGTCCTGCATGTGCCGAGAGAATAAAGCTGCAGAGGAAAGGAAACAAGGAAAGGTGTTTTTACAGCATCTTAAACAAGCCCTTACTACCTAAAACATATAGATAAATTACACAGTCAGGGTCTGGATGTTTGAGGAGTTAAATCCCTACAGTCACACACATAAAAATGCCACCAGGAGACTGTGGGCCCATGCAAGCGCTGAGAGAGCACCTTAAACAAATCCATGAGTGGGTGTGCATGAATTTACTCCAGTGAAAGCTGCTGTGAGGAGTTTTTGCTAACTTAAAGCGTAAAACTAATTTAGGGTCAAACACACTGTAACACAGAGTTAGACACCCCCTCGAGAGATGAATGTTGCTGACCGCTTGCTTCTCTAGTTTTACCAACTTTTGTGATGACCGCATGATTGCAACACACAGCAGTCTGAGGAGCCAAACACAAACCTAAACCAAAACGCCAGTCTATAGCCACAAATAATGCTCAGAACAGCACCTAACTTCATGTGCAGTTGCTATTGTGTGGTCGTTACTAAAGTTGGTATAACTAGAGAAGCAAGCGGTCGGCAACATTCATCTCTCAAGGGGGTGTCTAACTTGGTGTTACCATGTGTTTGACCCTTTTTTTCACGCCGGAATATCCCTTTAATAAGAACTCACCTCTGATACTGCATCATAGTTACATTATAAAGCCTAATAAATCATCTGTAAAGCTTGATTTAGCAAGCAAACATCAATATAAGAATTCATAACAGCTTATGTGACCAAAAATACCTCCACACAGCATTACTCAGATGTTTTGGTGTCCTAATTTGTCTGCTCAGTGCGACTTTACTTGACCATGTTCTCTATTTCTGTAGAATGATATCACTGGATTAGTTTACTAAGGTCAAGAGGTCAGGTTAGAATGAGAGCGCCCTCTGCTGGATCAAATAGCTAGCTACTTGAAGCGGTTAGATGTGCTCATAGAAAGGCTATCTCCATTCTTATTGTGAGCATTTATGTAAATAGTCGGCAGCTACTCGACCTTTAAACACAATTCATACAGCCTTGACACAAAAGGCCACAAGGCTCTGAATAGATTTCTATATTTTGTCCACACGGGGCGCCAAAATCCATGCAAACTGATCAGTCCAGAGAGGTGCTTTTAATTGAGTATTCTATCTTTGGTAAAAACACTTAAATGGAGGCTTAACCCTTTTTATTTTCCATCAGCTTTATTCTTTATCTTACACAATGTGAGCGGGTAATAATAGAAAAATAAAGGTTTAATAGTTTTTGTTTAATGTACTGGTATCCAGCCTGAAATCAGCCCTCTGCTGCGTGTTTACTTTGTAATCAAAGTTATCCTGAATCTACATTTCAACACAAGTTAGAGATTTATTGACATGAAAACTATCATCCAAATCTCTAAATGTTTAAGCTTTTGAGTTCAAAGGAAAATCAAACAAAGTCAAAGAGCAGTTTTTCTTTTACTCCTAATAATCTGGATTACATTGCACTAACTTTACTTCTGATGCATGTAATACAACCAAACAAACATGAACAGGTGTAAATACCTTCTGCGTGTGTGCTGATGAGGACCAGCACCAGTACCAGGATCTGTTTCCCGCAGCTCCTCTCCATCCTAAACCTTCAGCTGTGGACTCCGTCTGTCTGTCTGTCACCTCGTTTCCTCTCTCGCATTTATAGACGCTCATATGCAGAGTACATTTCTGGTTATGTAATCACTGTAAACACGCCTGCATTCACTCTGCCGGTGGGAAACTCACACCTGTGATTTGAGTCATTTGTCCTCACGCCCAAGGTCTTACCGTTGACGCCACACAGATTGTTTGGTAGTTTTGGAGAAATTTTAAAGTTCTGCAATAAATCTCAGTCATGTCATGAGTGTCATTAATGCATCTTGTGTAACAATAATTCTGGGAATAAAAATCTACCGCTGTAACCATGTGTTCACATCATTGGCAGTCCTCTGTGTAGCAATAAGCATGTTGGGGTTTAAGTTCAGAAAACACAAAACCAGAGGCTGCAACACTGAGGAAGTTCCACCACCATGAATCACATGTATACTGTGCAGTGAGAGAAAAACCATCCTCACACTGAAATATTCAGTATACTGTCACTACCACTGGTTTATATGTGCAGCTGACCCTGTTAGAAATGCAGCAGAAAAAAGTGCTAAAGTTGTGTGGACTTATTTTCAAAGTTTTAGCAGTAGAGCAGGTTTATAAATGAGGGAAGTAGGTGGCTGAACTGGAAAGTACAATGCAGAAGGTCAAGGATACAAAAAAAGGCCAGGGATATATCTCTGTAGTTACTGTAAACTGAAAATATATACTATCTTTGGAGGGGCAAGATCATGAAAATACACTATTAACTGACCAATAAGAGTGATTTGATAGTTGAGATGCATAAGTAAAGAGGAAATTTTCCATAACATTGAGTAATTTCTTCTCCCCTGGCACTCTTTCAGACAATCTGACATGGTTGTGACTGATACCAATGAAGTAACACTTTCTTTGTCAGATTTTATCATTGTTTGTGTCTTTTCAAGAAACTGTTGGTGTTGATGAGTTTACATTTATCAGCAGACTAAACCTACAGCTACACATTCAACATATACTCTCTGATCTCTCTTTTTTTACTCTTCTACTTTGCTTTTATCACTTGCTTGTTTTCTTTCTTCTTGCTTCTCTCATTTTGCTGCCTCAACATTGCACTTTCTATCTACTGCACTTCAAAAACTTGGTTTAGACTGCAGTGTGAGAAAAACTTTTCATACCCCTAACTCGGAGGAGGCCTTTGTTGGGATTTGAACCCAAAACCATTTTCTATTTTGTTGACGCTGATTTAGTTTCCAGTTTATTTTGGTAATGGGTCCAGACTAAAGTGAAACAAACTCACACCGGACTTCAGTATTTGGTGAAAACTCTGAACCTTTTAGCTGTGACTTGCGTGTCCTCATTCATAATCCATTATGAACAAGCATCCATTAGCATCTGCATTTTTTTTTTGCACTACTGCATCCATTTGCACAGGTTATTATGCCTTTGTAGAATGTGTGCTGTGTTTTATTGGTGGTGCCTCTGCTCATTTGAAGTTCCCGCTGGGATTAATAAAGTATCTATCTATCTATCTATCTATCTATCTATCTATCTATCTATCTATCTATCTATCTATCTATCTATCTATCTATCTATCTATCTATCTATCTATCTATCTATCCATCCATCCATCCATCCATCCATCCACCTGAGAATATATGTAGACAAGTAATGTGGTGCACACTCCAGTCCAGCAGATGGCGGTAAAGCACCTGTAAGCTGTTTACCGACTGCCACAACAACAAAGAAGAAGCTGCTCAGGCTAAAGAGGCGGAACCGGAGTCTCAACCATCTCAATAAAGGTTCGTTTACCTCTTAAAACATCGTATATAGAAAAACTTCATGTTGTCTTGTGTTTTATATAATATTCTTGTGTTTTATAGCCGTGTGTGTTTTCACTCCTGCAAGAGCTCACGGGAAGGTTTGACTGAAAGCACCAGTTAGCATTGGTGGCTAACAGCGATCAGCTGATTAGTGTCACTGGAGATGTTACAGGAGACTGTAGCTGCGTCCGAATTGCCAAGTAGTAGTCGAAGTAGTAGTCGAAGTAGTATCTAGCATGTCCGAATTGGCCACCGGAGCGAGTAGCATGCTACTTCAGATACTACTTCAGATGCTAGACACGCCCACATTGTAGGTTGGTCTCGGTGCATCCTACGGACATGCTACTGACCCAAAATGCACCGCGGGCTTCTTCTTCGTCCTCTTAAAAGTTGTAGAAGCGCATGTGATGCTAGCGCCACCAGCTGCTCTGCCTATTTAAAAGTGTCGCGAACGCCGGCTGGCCACAGCAGCGCGCACCATGGCGGAGCAGCAGCAGCAGCAGGCGGGACCGCAGCAGTACAGATGTAAGTTTCATGTAACTTCACACACTGTCCTAAAAAATGTGCGGTTGTATCTCTTTGTCATGTCATGGTGTCATATTTGCCCAAGTAATCATTTTATGAGCAAATATGTGGCGACATCATGGAGGTAAAGCTCACTTATTCCATCATTAAACTGCACAGCTGCAGTACTACAGCCAGGCCCGCAGATGAGGAGCTTCAGTTACCACTGTCTGCACGGGCGCAGTACCTACTCTCTGCCTGCGGGGGTCGTCTTTCCCCACCGCTCGTCTAGTGTGTCCGAATTGGGCCAACGTTTTTAGTATGTAGGAGTAGGATCTAGCAGTAGCACGTAGCAGTAGCATGTAGTATCCGAGCGGGCAGTTCGGACGCAGCATGTGTGATGGTTGCAGCAAATAGAGGGTTTTATTTGACTTTATTACTGCTAAGTTACTTGTGTGTATGCCCCAGTAAATGCCAGTTAGCGTTAAAGTTACCTTGTAAGAATTCTAACCCATTATAGTTCTATTTTATTTTGATGGAATGATAGAGAAAGTCTCGGTTTACTTAAGCAAACAAGTCATCAGCTGCTAGTAAACAAGAGGTTTACTTATCACTGGACTGCCTGTGTGTGTTCTTGTCTTCACTTTCCATCAGAAAATGGACACTCGCTTCACTCGAGGGAAATCCACTATCCTGGAGCGACCTCTAACCCGACCAAAGACGGAGGTCAGCATCAGCGCCTTCGCCCTCCTCTTCTCAGAGATGGTGCAGTATTGTCAGAGCCGGGTCTACTCTGTGTCCGAGCTGCAGACCCGGCTGGCCGACATGGGTCAGAGTGTGGGGGCCAGCATGCTGGATGTGCTGGTGCTGAGAGAGAAGAACGGGAAGAGGGAGACCAAAGTGCTCAACATGCTGCTCTTCATCAAGGTGAACACAATATTTCAGAGAAGTGCTGGTTCATGTCTAACTCAGTGTTATGGTGTGTTTGACTCTAAATTAATATCCCTTTAACACCCCCTACCACACATCAGCTCAGCCGTTCTCACAAAAAATTAACTGAGAGGCTGGCTGGAAAAATTGACATTTGACATTTGAGAACTGCCATTTTCCTCTCCACTACAGGTAAACGTCTGGAAGTCTTTATTTGGGAAGGAAGCGGATAAATTGGAGCAGGCCAATGATGATGACAAAACCTACTACATCATTGAGAAGGAGCCACTGATCAATGCGTACATCTCTGTGCCCAAAGAGAACAGCAGCCTGAACTGTGCTGCTTTCACTGCCGGCATCGTAGAGGCCATCCTCACACACAGCGGCTTCCCTGCCAAAGTGACGGCTCACTGGCACAAAGGCACCACGCTGATGATCAAGTTCAATGAGTCGGTCATAGCCAGAGACAAAGCTCTGGACGGAAGATAAAAAAGACTGCAGGGTATCAGCAGTTTTTGTTAACCTGGACTTCTGAAGATACATTTTAAAGATGTAGGGGAGTGTTGGACCTGCTCATATAAGAGGACTTGATGTTTGGGTGGATGACTGCGCCATCCTGGACCACACTGTGAGGGAAAACATGCAGCTCTTTGGCGAAATGAAACAAAAACATCCCTGGTTTTCTCACTGTTAGTAATGACTTACAGTCTTAATGTTACAAAATGTTAAATTTACAGAGAAAGGTCCAGAAGTATGAGATCATTCCTCTCTTACACGTAATAAACTAGTAACCCTGGTTACCATTAGCAACCAGGTAAGATTTAAATTGAATTGAATTCGTAATGTGTTGTAGTGCTATTGTATTACACTAAGACGCTATGTATCAGCTGTGAGCATTTACACCCATTTTCTGCAACAGGAATGCAGTTTTTTTTAGCTTGTACTGTTATTGTATTTAATGAGTGAATAACCAGTTTGATTAATGGCACACAGACAATACATTTCCTTTTAGGGATAAATAAAGTTCTTGTATTAGCTCTTACTACAGATATGTTTGTACTTTCGTCAGTGTCTTCTGTCACAAAATGAAATGTTCTATTTTGTACTGCTATTAATGATTGCTTTTGTGAAAATGAGTGAAAAAGTTGTGATTATAAAACATAAAGATAGATAAATCTCACACCAAGAAGTTCAGGAAACATTTTTTCTTTTCTAAAACTGATTCTTACACCTTCAAATGAGTATGTGTTTTGGAGAAAAGGACCTTGATGACACTCGTTTCATGAAAAAAAAAAACACCATTATATTGGTAGAAAAACTGATTTCAAATATTTTTCTGGCTTGTGCTAACATGAAACTCACAGTTCCAGTCCCATTCTTAGTTAGTGTCAAACAACAATTTGCCATAAGCACAGTGGGTTTTTTTGTGGCCTATAGATTTGAACACTAGATTGTGGCACCAACTAGCAAACTGCCAATATCTGATGTTGCATTTGAGATAATATCTGATGTCAATACTGGTCCTGATATCAAAAAGTTTAAAGAAAATAAATCTGGATCTTCAGCTTGAGGATTTTACAAAAGATTAAACTGTTAACTTGATACTTGCTACAGGTGGTTAGTTCAGTGTGAGACTACCTATATCTGTTCAAATGTAATAAATGTGACCTGGTTGACCTGATGTTACTGGGAGTTCTATGCAAAGCTAGATTTTCTGATTTCTTCTCAAGAAGAGGTTTTTACATAGGCAAAAAGAAAGCTCAGTCAGAAAGTGCAAACTACATCTGTCTTTGAAAAAACAGTCTCATTGTAGTGGTACATAAGTAAAATGACTGTATTTGACATGGCAGGTATTTTAAAACAGAAAAGACCCACTCAGGTCTTCATCAGGGCTGTTGTCAGCAGAATCTCTGATGGAGATAAAAATAAAGCCTGAAGTATCCAAAGAGCAGCTGTACATGACAGATACAAAGACCCAGCAGCGCTTCAACTCCTTTTGTGACCAGATTTTTCTGTTTCCAAGCTGGCCATGCTAAACTAAGCTGCAGCCATCCTTTAGGACACTGATTTTCAAGCTTTTGGTCACAATCTCTGGGGTTGGCAGATGGTTTTGGATTTAAAGATGTATAAAAAATGAAGTGGTTTCTGTGTTACAATACCTGATCCAGTGACTGTGGTTATTTCAGTGCTGTTTCAGGCTGCGCGTTACCTGTGTGACGGCTGCAGGAGATGGTTCTGGCTTGCAGGGCCATCGTGTTCACAAACAGGCAGTGACTTGAAAAGGCTGAGAACTTCTGCTGTAGGGGAACTGTTTTGGGGGGACTGAAACTGAAGGAACAATTTGCAAAAAACGTTTAATCTTGATCAGAGCTTCTTTTCAAACTTGGGAGTTTAGTTTTTTGTTATTCAGGTTTGGTGAGAGCAAGTTTACTGTTATGGCATATTTCAGCCACAAGGCAATTCAAAGCGCTTCAGATGAACATGAAAACATCAGAGGAAGACATTTCAAAATCATTCAATAGGCCGTTAAAAACTTTGATTATAACAAAAGAAAAAGGTTAATATTTACAAGGTATTCTTATGCATAAAAGTGTGACTTAAAATATGTCATGAACTGCAACAAAAATAACTTCACAAAATGAATACATTTTTCTAATTAAAATAAAAAAGATTTTCTTGACTAAAAAAAACACGAATGAGAAACTGCATGCAGGACAAAAACATCCTCGAGAAACACTGTTCATAAAAAAGACTGTCGAAGCAGCTTCACATTTATCATTCTTAAAGTATTGAAACTTAAAATTTTATTTTTTGCATTCCAAAAACTACTTTTCTGTTCCAAATCTCCCAGCTGTAAAACACTTTGGTTCAAAATTTGTATTTAAAGTGCCCAATAAATAAAAATGAATAAATAAATAGATAAAATAAATAAAAATAAATTAATAAAAGTTTTGTTTTCATGTTGTGAAATATCTTCCATTCAGTGAAATGTAGATAAAGAAATTTTTTGTTTGTTTTCTTGTTTTTATTTTTTTATTCATTTTGTTCATTTGTTTCTTTGTTTTTGCTTTATTTGTTGTCGTTTTTTGTTTTGTTTGTTTGTTTAGTTTTTTTTTGTTTAGTGTTTTGTTTGTGTGTTTTGTTTTTTATTTTATTTTTTTGTTTTTTTGTTTTTTTTTAATCATCAATGTTTTTGTGTTGCCTTTTTGACTTTTAGGGCCTCTGTAAAACTTAGTTCTACATAAGGAAAATCAGCGAAAAACATTTAAAAAATTACTACTTTACTAATACTTTACCTAAGACAACATGGTTTTGATTTTTATCTCATTTTCTCATATCTTTTAGGATATTTCCTGGTTTGTTTCTGGCTCGTTTTCTGTCTTTTCATGTGTGTACTCAGTTTCTGAGTATTGATGGTTCTGTTTATTGGTCAATCTCAAATAAAAGAGCCGTAAAATAACACTCCTTCACTGCTCTTTTCTTTGTTAATCGCTTGAATGTCACACTATCAGCCTCGACATCTATTTGATCATCCTCTCCCATCTGTAACAAAGACATGAGTCACGTGATGAGGTCATGTGATTACCAGGAAGCTGCGGTCTGTTTACCTATGTGTCATCCACACAGACGAGCACCCAGCATCCTTTAAATGTGATTAAACTGGCGTGAAAAAAAAGATGAATTTACCCACAGCTCGATGTTAAATCGATAATGTCCTTTTACATCTTCTCTGTGTGAACGTGAACGCGTCACCATGGCGTCTTCAGGTTACATCCAGGACAACGCCACAGGTTCGTCAATGAAAACAACATTTCTGTCTGTCTGTCTGTCTATCTGTCTGTCTGTCTGTCTGTCAGTTTTCTTTCTGTTTCTCTATGTATGGTTAGTCTTTGCATTTTCACAGTTTGTTCTTTTATTCACGTTAAACCGAGTATTTACGTTGAACCGGGATGTGATTTAGAGTCTGTACTGTCTAAGAAAAAGGTTTTATCTCCGCGGTAAAGAGATTCACTGCATCCCAATTCACTAACATTAACTAATCTGGTTTAGATTTTCTGCTGTTACAGGTTTGCACGCAGAGGTAAACACAGCTTAAAGGGGCAGTCCGCAGAGTTTGCCCTGAGGAATACTTTTCACCCTTGTGTAAATGTCCTCTAATGCCCTGAGGGGTTAAATCAGGACAAAATAATATCAACAAATAACTGAATGATGCATATTTTAGCACCACATTGTTATATTTCAAGATTTTGAATCAGTTGTCAAAGTCTGTTATGAAAAAGATCTGGCACAAATGCAGCCTGTGCACACTTTTGGAGCCTCAGTGCAGGGGGGCGCTGCTCTGTTTTCACCTTCTGAGTTATTTTAGCCCCCATATAGATTAATCATAGCCTGTATCTTTTAATTCTTTCTTTAAAAAATTATTATTTATTCCTTGAGATGACCTTAATTCATTGTCAGAAAACAGCAGTTCTATAAACAATAACAGACATATACAGACATAACAACCAGCTAAGTCGAATTCACAGATCAGAACAGTTTTAGTCAAAGCACTTGCAGCCTGCTTCATCTTACTTAAGGGCCTTTAATCAACATTTAAAAAGATTTAAAGAGACCAGCGCTCAAAGACACAGTTTTTCTTGTAGCAGATTCCAGTCTGCAAGAGCCGCATATCTGAAACTTCTTTAACTCATTTCAAGACGAACTTTGGGGACAGATAGCGAGAGTTGATTTTGTGTCTGAGTCGCAGTATGATGGCTCACAGGATCTCTGTATTTTCATAACCTTGTTACGGGAAAAATATTGAGCTCTGAATCATGAATTATCCTCCGAGTCTTTCCTGTAATTATCATGAACTCATTGAACATTATGAACTTGTTTCTACTTTCCAGAGAAGGACCATCTCCTTTCTGCAGAGCGCAGCTATGGATCCAGGGATCTTCTTGGAGATGGGAGCGATTGTCCGTCTGTTCTGGTTGAGCCTCACCACAAAGTGGTTGAAGAAGAGGAGGAGGAGGCCCTGAGGAGGAAGCTCAAGTATTTCTTTATGAGTCCTTGTGATAAATATCACGCCAAAGGACGTAAACCTTTCAAACTGGGCCTGCAGCTGCTCAAAATCATCATTGTGACCGTGCAGGTTGGGATCATTTTTGGATTTATTTCATCGTATGTCATTGCTGTTTTTCTCTAAATCCCTGACTCTGTTTCTCTTCTTGTTATTCCTGTTCAGTTGGTGATGTTCGGTCTGAGTAACCAGATGGTGGTGACATTTAAAGAGGAAAACACGGCCGCTTTCAAACACCTTTTCCTGAAAGGTTTCCAAGACAACGTTCCTCAGGCTGTGCACACACAGACAGAGCTCTACAGCCGCATCCACTTCGCCATCGAGCAGGTATTCTAATAATTACTTCTCAGACTCCTTTCATTTCCGTGCACCTTACAGTTATTGCAGCCAAACAACAAATTTGACACTTTCCATCAAAGATCCCCTTCTGTTTGCTATGAGGCACCCGTCCACAGAAATTTTAATTATAAGGACCTGCCCCCAACAGCATTTTGAGACAGCTTTGTAGCTCTTCACTTTTCTGTCCCTACATGGCATCTTGAGATCATCAGGTAGCTGAAAAGACCCTGTTCTAGTCTATATCTAAAAATCTTATTTTTGGCAACTGTGGGCATCCGGAGAGTACAAATGATCATCAGTTTTACTGGCATCATATCCAAGAGCACATATGGACTTTTTTGATCAAGGGAAAGGAAATCCAGAGGGGCACTTTTTTTGCATTTTACGTCATAAAAGGGGGATCCAGGGGCCTTGCTTTACATTTAAAATACAGGTAGGAAATTCAGGGGGCACCCTCTCAAAATTTATTTTATACTGGAGGGTCACAAAGATGGCACTATTTTATATTTTATAATATATTTCATGGTAAGGCTATCTAGAGGAGCACCTCTTTTATTGTTCTCAATCTAACAGGGTTCAGGGGACACTATCTAGTCTTCCAATACAGGGAGAGTATTCAGGAGGGGCAATTTTTCTAAATGTTATTTACTAAAAGGACATTTAGGGGTCCTGGATTTAAATCTTAAGTACAGGTAAGGGATTCAGAGGGCACTTTTTAATATTTTTAATACTGGGAGGGCATTTAGAGGGCATTTTTCCACATTTTTCATACTGGAGGGGTGTGCTGATGGCACACTCTTATGTTGCACAGTTTTGCACATTAAATGCACTGAGGGCATTCAAAGGGCACTTTCTCTACATTTTACTTACAGGAAAGGTATTCAGTGGGCACTCTTTTCACGCTTTTTATACATAATTTAAGGACATCCATTTGGCTCTTTCCCATGTTTTTTTTGTACTGCAACAGCATCCAGAGGAGCCAGTTTCTATGTATTATAAAGTGGAAGATGGTACATCCACTGACAGGGTTTTTCAGGCATGATAGCACAGAAGAGAAGAAATGTGTCTTCCTAAAAGTTATTGTATCAATTGTTGTTGTGCAATGCTGAAAGCAAGACATTTCCCTCTTTTGTTTAAAGAAGGAAGTAGACATATCAAGTGGATATGAAAATAAAACCTCTATCAGGGTCAGTTTGCTGCAGACTGGAGGGATTGTAAATGTTACTTTGTCATTGGTGCAGAGGTTAAGTTTCCGATGGTTTAAATTTAAAGACTTTCACATTTTATAAAGAATGTTTGATGATGTAACACCTGATTAAATACCACATAAACCAGTTTTTAAATAATCTGCATGAGTTAAGTCATTTTTTCTCCCCCTCAGTACTTGGCTCTACCTCGGATCTCTCTGGGTCGGTATGCCTATGTTCTGGGCATGGGTGCAAATGACAGCGCCCTCTCCCTCTGCCAGAGGTACTACAGGAAGGGAACCATCGACCCCGTTAATGACACCTTCGACATCGACCCCCATGTTATTACGGGTAAGATGACCTTTTTCTTTCAGAGCTTCCTGCCGTGATGTCTGGTGACTGTCCCCGGGTTGTGGCGCTAAAAGCTGGAGCCTTGTTTTGTTTTAACTCGTCCCTCTAGGAAATGATGGAGTCAGTGAGTCATTGTGCTGCTGCTCCAAATATGTCAAGAAGAGCCCTGCAACTGTGCCCTACTTTTTAAGGCCTGAAATAGTTTCTGCAACTAAAGCCACAAGACAAAAGCATTTTTTACAGCATGTACTTCAGCAGTGACATGCTTTCTCTCTGCCTCGGTTACAGACATTTGCAGATTAAACAGCGTATCAACTTTAGACTTGAGCTGTGATAGTGAGTCCCATGTCTGTAACAGGAATAGAGAAGCTCTTGCATTATAAATTTAAGAAAAAAAAAAGAAAAAGCACACCACAGTGTAATAAAAAATCTAATACAGTGAACTGTCCTGTATCCAAAACTTTAGAAACTTCAAGTAAAAGTACAAAAGTTCTGGTATCAACAAAAGTACTCAAGTTAAAAGTTAATATACTGTTTAAAATTCAATGATAAAAATTCAGATGGTTTACAAGTTTACTGTCAGAAAAAAAAGAAAAAGGCATGTATTCAATTTTGATACAGAAAATTATTATTTTGTATAGAGTATTCACTTGTTTTAAATTTAATAAACATGTTATATGTTTCGTACATGTTGCATGAACATGTTCTGATTATAAAAAGTGCATCACAGAGAGGCCGAGTCTCTTTGGAGCAACATATGCTGCCATCCAGACAATGACTTTTCATATCAGTCCTTTCATACTAGTATTTGATTTGTCCCAAACCTAACTTTTTAGGAACATCAACTGGAATCAACCCTTAAAATTAACACACATCTTTTTATTTAACAATAACATTTTCAGCTCCAGTTTTTCATATTTTTCTTTGCACTCTAACAAACAGTATCATCCTTCAATTATTTTCAAACCACCAAATTCTGTTGTCATTAATATTTTACTCCGTAAACTCAGCTTTGGGTTTGGAGATTATTCCACTTATTGCACATGTGCTTGTTTAGGAACTCAGTCATTTTGTGTCTTTGATTGGAAAAAGGTCATTACACTTTAAACACCATAACTTCTCAAACCACATTCTGTTAAATTTTTACTTAATGTTTCCATTATTTTCTTAGCCTGTGTGTCCTCTTATAGAACGAGTCTCTGTCCAGTTGAAACCTGTTCAACTTTTAACACTTTCATTTTTCTCTCAGATAAAGTGTAAGTTAGTTAGTCAGTTTCAGAAGCTAAAGTAAGTGTCCTCCAAGGCTCTGTGGGATTAAATCTGGACAAAGTAACCCTGAATTAGCTGAGATGACTCCTAACTGACCATAGTAACCAAAAGAGACACATAAAAAACACTACGGGGCAGTTTCACTGCGGATATTTGGGGAAGTATGCAGTGGGAGTGTGGTTTAATCTCCACATGATGTGGAAAAAAGTCTAGTGTCTGTTGAAAATGCCCTCGTGATCATTTCTTACTTCCTCTGACACTATTTTCTGATGTGATTCCAGATTGTTTTGGGCTGAATCCTCCAAACTACATCTCTCCAGTAGGAAACGACGACTACAAAAACTTCACTCTCAAATTCTACAAGTCAGATAATTGTTTGTTATAACATTCAAAATAAGGAAGTGTCCTTTTTATCCCAAGTGTTGATCATTCCTCTTGTCTTTTTGTTTCCAGATTGATCAACGTGACCATTGACTTTAAGCTGAAAGCCATCAACATCCAGACCATAATAAACAATGAGATCCCTGACTGCTACACCTTTGCTATCACGGTGAATTGTCTCCTCTATTGTTTCTATTCAAATGAACATCCTTAAGTGTTTGATGGGTCAGTTTGAGATCGTTGTAAATCCTCTCAGCCTGTCTGTTCAAATGATCAAAAAACCTAAGATGATAGAATCAAAGATACGCTGATGGAGATGTGTGACGATTCTCACATCTAAAGGTTGTTTATTTACTTTTGTTTTTACTGTTTGTGTCAGATCTTGATGGACAACAGAGCCCACAGTGGGAAAGTCAAGATCAGTCTGCAGAACCAGGCCACCATACAGGAGTGTAGAGACCCCAATGTGAAGGGCCACGGTGAGGAACTCATACCCAGAATTTTCCATCTTTGACTAAAATTTCTGTTTCCAACATCAGAAACCTGAGAGCTGTTAGTCATTTTGACCTGTTAGAGGGTGAATGTAGCCTCATTTTTGCTGGCAGGTGCTGCAATTGAAACACTTCTCTCTGGTGGCAGATGTAATGATCCAATCAGATGGACTGTACTTTGAAAAGATGAAACGTCAGTGATGCTAGTTCAGATTTAGTGATGATGTTTTCCAAGATTATTGTTATACATAATCCAGATTTGTTGTTAATGAATTGCTCAATGCCACAACAAAACTTTAATGTACAAGAACAAAAGGAAAATGAAAACAGAATTGACTCAGATTCAGGTTCTTTGTAAATGTTGTCACGTTTCATCTTGTTTGATGCACTCCTCTTACAGCCGAGAACTATGCGCGGGAGTTTTTCGACGTGTTGGTGGCGATCGTGTGTCTGCTGTCTCTGCTGCTTTGTGGTCGCTCCATCCTCAGAGGTGTCCTGCTGCAGCAAGTAAGATGACACAGCAAACATTTTTAGCTCTACGACCTTCAAGTTTTCATCCTGTCCAACCAAATCCTCTCTCCACATGGACAGTGCACAGACTGTTTTATTGATTTAAAAACGCTGATATCAAAGAAACTCAGTGAATTTTTATGTGTTGTGTTTAAACTCAGTGTTTAAGTGCTTCCTTGTAGAAGATCGTGGTATTTAAGATGAGCTTACATCTTTCATAAAACAATGAAACGCCTCAGTTACAACATTTGATATGTTGTCTTTGCTTTATTTTCAATCAGATTTAGGCTGTAAGTGATTTTCAAACCATCGAAACCTTTTTTGATCAACCATTCACACAACACTCCAGCTCTCTTGGAATAGGGGTTGTAAACAAAATGGATTTAGAGGACTTGTCATATCAGTAAAAGTGACCGAATGCATATTGACACATAATGGGTGTTGAGGAAATAGAAGAAAAGATCTCATATAATCTTCAGTTTTTGAATCAGTGCCGCTTAAAGGGAACATCAACTGGAAAAAAACAACGCATTCAGAGTTACCACGATTTTCCAGAGCTGAAAAATACATAAGCGTGATCATATTTGAACACAACAAGGAAACAAGCCCAGCGTTTTATTAATGGTGTGACTCAGAGAACATCAGTCAGTGAAGAGTGTGACTCACTGATTTTGTTTTTGGTCGTGACTGGAAACAAACGGAGCTCTATGGCTCATGAAAAAAAGGATATTTTTAGGCTCTGGCTGCAGAAAACAGCCATCATGGGATCATTTAGTTATAGATTTGTTAAATAAAGGGTCATGTGAAGTGAATGGGAGGTTATGCAAATTAGTAGAAGTGGAGGGGTTTATTTTTCAACTAGCTGGGATATAATACGCCGTCTGTGCTTCTCTTTGACTGTATTTGATCTGCTTTTTCTAGGAGTACGTTGAGTTTTTTAAACACAAACTTGGCCGCTGTGTGAGCTGGGGCGACAGGATGGAGTTCATCAACGGCTGGTACATCCTGCTCATCGTCAGCGATTTGTTCACCATCATCGGGAGCTTCATCAAAATTGGAATCGAGTCCAAGGTAAGGGGTTGCAACAGATATATGATCGTCTCCTGCTAATGTGGGGTCTTTTGAGTTAATTTTTCAGTTTCTGGTAATGTTTTTTTGTCTGTTTGTGTTACAGAACATATCATCATACGACATCTGTGGCATCCTGCTGGGAACCTCCACCCTCCTGGTGTGGGTGGGAGTCATCCGCTACCTCAGCTTCTTTCAGAAATACAACGTAGGTGGAAAAAGCCACAAAAATCATGCTATTTTAAGAGATTTGATCACATTTGGGTCATATTTTTCCATTGCATTATAGCTCGGTCATGCTCTGTCTCTTCCAGATCTTGATTGTGACCCTCAGAGCCGCTTTTCCAAACGTCATCCGCTTCTGTTGCTGTGCAGCTGCTATTTATCTGGGATATTGCTTCTGTGGATGGATTGTGCTTGGGCCTTATCATGCTAAGGTACTGTATACACACACACAAACACACACACACACACTGCAGGGTGTCTATGTAGGCCTCAGAAGCCTGAGTCACTCTGACCTCGAGTGCATGTCTGATTATCATAAACTGCCCTCCAGCGTCTCATCTTTGTATCTATGAATTATAAATGAGAGAAGAAAATTGACATTCATTAAATATGAATTATGACAGGATATTTTGTTTGTGCTTGTAGTGCTTCTGCTCTGGAAGAGGAAATAAAAAAAAATCTTTGCAAATACAAGCTAATAAAACTTCAGATGGAAAAAAAAAAAGATCCTGAAATCAGAATTGGCCCTTCAGTATCACAGCCGTCCCAGGTTTGAGTCCGGCCCTCGGTATCTGCTCCATGTCTTCACACAACTTCTAAAATATGGCAGGAATTGTTTTCCTCAAAGGTCACTGCTAGACCAGGATTTTTGATGTCCTGCTTCAAGCTAAATAAACAGTCAGCTGATATAGAAATACTGTCTTCAGCTTCAGCTTCTGAGCGGTCACCTACCCCTTCAGGCCTGAAGATCTATGACCCAGAAATTGTCAAGCTTGTTACTGAATGTCTTGTTTGCTTTTGGATATCATGAAAAGGCAGCGATATGAATTTCAGTCCGTTTCATAAACATCGAAAAACATCTGATAGGAGCTTTAAATAGTTTTCAGAGAAGGTTGGTATATCTGGATCATTTTAATTTATATGGGTTTCTTTTTGCATGGTGCAGTTTTAGTCTAATTTTAATAATGCAGTGGCAAACTGTGTTAATATACAGTGTTTTTTTACATTTGGTATTGAGTACATGTAGTGATTTCCACTGCAGAGTCTGTTTTTCATATCTGCATAACTAACAATTTGAAAAGTAACTTTAATAGTTAAGAGATGTTTTTAGCATGACACAAGTTTTTCAGTGTTTAATTGTCCTTGTCCCAACATTTTTTTCCATCATCAAATTTAAAGATGATTTAATTTTGTTCATGAGACAATGAAATGTTTCAGTTTCAACATTTAAAGCTGTTTTATGTGCTCTATTTTCAGTTACAGAGAAGTTCTGAATCATTTGCAAACCACCAAATTCCATTTTGTTTATATTATATGCTATTTATATTCTACGCTGTATTCCAACTTTAGATTTGTTTTCTATATATTTTATATAAAAATCAATTAAAATGTAAAACTTTTATTTAAAAAACTGATAATCAGTTTATGGCTCTACACTCTATCGTTTTTAAGAAATATGATAAGCATGTATGAATAGTGGCATTTTTGCGCTTTTATAAACTGAGAATATGTAGCATTTCAAAATAAACTGTGTATCAGGACAAGAAAAACACTAATTTAAGCTCAGGTGAATCGTTACTGTTACAGAGTTGTGCGGGTAAGAACAATGGGGGTGATAAGAAGATACAGAAAACTCAAAAGAAATGAACCCCTGACCTGTGAGTCTCGTTTTTTTATTTCGATGCAGCTGTAATCTCACCACCTAGTTTTTTTTGTGTGCCGATTTTCCAGTTCCGCTCCTTGTCCATGGTGTCAGAATGCCTCTTTTCTCTCATCAACGGAGACGACATGTTTGTGACGTTCGCTGAGATGGAACAGAGCGGCACGCTGGTGTGGATCTTCAGCCAGGTCTACCTTTACACCTTCATCTCCCTCTTCATCTACATGGTGCTATCCCTCTTCATCGCCCTCATCACTGGAGCCTATGACTCCATTATGGTATGTGGACAGTTTGAATGTTTACAATCCTGTTTATCTTTAAATACCTGCAGAAAAATAATCTTTCACATCAGCTTCTGCTAAAATACTAAACTAAGATGGCAACAATGAAGCACCAAAATATGAGCATGGTCATTGGGAGCATCTTAAAAGCTGATATGAACCTATACAAGCCTTGTTGACAGCCATGTTTATATCACCTCTTCAGAAAGCAATGGCTGACGTCACTGTAGATTATTTGTGCGCATATTTCAAGTCCATGATTCAAAGATAACACAGAAACATGACTTTAAGAATAGGTTTGTTTTTGCTGTAAATCTTTTGCTGTTGTTAATGTTCATTCTGATTTTGTCTTCTTACAGGCGCACACACAGGAACAGGTGCGTGTCAGTGATCTGCACACATTCATCGCAGAGTGCACGGACACGCCCAGCTCTGGCAAATTCCGAGGGCCCGAAGGGTCGTCGTGCTCCTTCCTCTGCTGCTGTGAGTGGTGAAGAGGAGGAGGAGGAGGAAGTGGATGTGGATGCACAAAGGGAGTAAGCAATGCTTTAGTGTGCGGAGGAAAAAGGGAGTTTTTTTTTTTTCTCCTCTTGCAACCACTTTATTTCCACTCCAGTGTCAGACGACTGCAATTTAATTCCTTTTTTCTGCCTCTCCCGCTGGGACATTAAATGCCTGGAGAGTGAACTGAACGCCCTCAGACAGCTCTGTCCTCATGTTTGATTTTTGCATTGAAATTCTCACTGGAGCGGAAGGACGTCCTCCACAGTCACAAGCCCAATTACCTGCTTTGGCTTTTGTACTGTGTGAATAATTCATCGCCTCTTTACGAACTGTCAGTTTGTTGTTTGATGACTCGACGCATAAAGCCAGTAAACATTTTGGTTGTTCCAGACCAGACGAAGCCTCCACGGAGGAAAAGGGAAGCAAGATTTTACTTGAATGATCCACTATGTACAGGGTTTTTATCAAGATTTTCTTTTCGCATGGATGCACAGGCTACAGAAATGTTGCACCTACTGATTATGTAAATATATGACTGTCCTCTGAATCTTCACAGCAGAGGGAAAACAGACAAAATCAGCCATGCAAGGGGAAATCTGAGCAATCATTAACTGCTGCTGTATGCATAAGCTTCACTTTTCACATCTCGTTTTCATTCTTCCTCCTCTTCTCTTTGTTCTTGTCCTCTGAGCTGCATGAGGAAGCCCCTGCAGCCAACCAGTCAGTCATCAATATGTATGAACTGTTCTTGCTGGAAGGAGCCAGGTGACCATGCAGGCTGATGCACCTCTAAACTGAGCCTTTTTAGACTGAAGCTCTTTTAAAAGGCCACAAAAATATTCTCACATTTCCCGTTGTCTAAAAAAATCATGGTACAAACACTATAGGAGCTTGTAAAAGAAAGAGTCTGTAAATTTGAGGACCGGGACTTTACAAAAGCAAAGAGCAGTCATTAGAAAAACAGGGATGATAGTTTAAAAAGGATTAACTTGTATTTCAGCAATTCAAAATGTAAATAAGTTGTAAATCTTCATTTTATGTTGATTATAAAGCCCTGCGCAGGACAGGAAACATAATACAACAAAAACCCTACTATAAAAAAAGTTCAAGATTGTTCTTTCTTAACTATTTTAACTCATTATATTTTTAATAATCACTTTTAAAAGAAACAAACACGCAGCTTAAAGCTCCTGTAAGGAATTTTCAGTTTGTGTCGATTTTGGCGCCCCCTTTGGACAAAGCACTAAATTCTATTTCTTTGCTGATTTTTTCTGCAACATGTTTATGAAGTTTTTCCAGACTACTGCAAACAAACTAAAACTTTTACTGTTGTCTTCTTAAAGTCAAACACATTTCTAAGTATGAGGATTTGCTATGGAATAAACATGCTGTACACACCACTATAATCACTGAATGTAATATGAAACCTCACTGTATTTATATCCAGCTTAAAGAAATTGAAAAAAATGCATTTATAAGTATATTCTTAAAAGTCAATTAATCAATAGTCAGTGAACTGTTCACATCCCTAATAACTACATAAAAATTATCTTGCTGAGGGTCCCTATCACTTTATATCTGATATAGAGGCTTTAATGTTGCTATCTGTCCTTTCAATACGGTCAATAAAGACATTCAACACTATTGATACATTTGACCATCAGAAGGAAGCAGGATGAGATCCTTTGTCAGAAAAAATAACCTACATTTACGGAGAAAAATAAGTAAAGCACAAGAGAAACCACTTTGTCCACAGGGGGCGCCAAAATCAACACAATCATACAGTTCTTGACAGGAGCTTTACAACCATTGTCATTTTACAGTCGTTTGCCACGTTAGGCTGGTTCCCTTTGGCTCTTAAGACAGGACCACTTTCTCCAGTCTTGATTTTTGCCTTTATGATTTCAAATAAGATACCTTTAGGAACTGTAGCCTAATCCCTCAGCATCCCTCACCAGCTGTAGTTAAAATCAAGGAGCAGATGTGGCTAAAGGTTAAAGCTAACAGCACTAACATTAAAAATGCCGGCCAGTGTCAAGTTAAGATGTCATAGTTTTTCATTTTGATATTCAGAAAAACATACAACTGAGTGAATTAGCCAAAGCTAATGCCATTTCATCTGATGATTCCAGCTACTTCTCCAGTGTTGGGGTTTCTTTCTGCTTTCTTGTACTCTTACTACCTACTTTTTTCTCTCAAACAATGCACATGTGTAGAGAATATCATCTCATGAGAGGTTATTATAAAACCTGTGCTGATTTGGAGTCATAAAAGATATGTCCTCACTATGTTTTATGGCTTTGTCGGGCAGGGTGAATGCACTTCATAGAGTTGAGTTCATATTTTATGCCGGACTCACACGCTGTCAGTGAACTGACATTGGCGCCATATATAAAGGGAAATCTCTTTTTTCTTATCTGAACATACTTGGGAATTTCTACAGACCAGCAGTTCTTCATTAAAACCGTAATTTTAAAAAAAGGGAACATTTGAGATGTCATTATAGAAACTGACTGAAGCGCTGATATCATTTTAGCGCGCTGCAAAGAAAAAAGTGAAGGTCACCGTTCGTTTGAGAGAGGGGATGTTCACGGCACAAAATCATTTTTCAGGGTTAAAGGGTATGGATTTACGTCATTTTTTGATTTTTGACTGCTCATTTACTGATATTGTTTACAATCTAACATGTGCTTTTTTTTAGTGAATGTTTATTTATACGTATTTGCACTCTGAAGACTGATTTACAGCCTCACTTGAATACAGAAGGTCACAAGGGAGCCATAGAGCACAAATGAGCACTGTACTGTAAATGTAACACGTGTTAATGTTCTCCTGACATTTATGGGATTTCTTTGACGCCTTGTTGATTCAATGCTAACAGTGGTAGTGCTCACTACATATGTTTACTTATATTATGTACGTTGTTATAAGTATTTACCTCACTCTGGGAAGAAAGCAAAGGGGAGTTTTACGGTTTCTTTATTTGAAGATTCTGACCGATTTTTTTTTTACTTTCATATGTACCAAATCATTTTTCCTGACGTTGCTGTTTTCTGGATGAAAGTTCATGTCAGCAAAATAAACAGAAGAGACTACATTTGTGTCAGATGAGCTTTATACTGTGAATCTACAAATGCAGGTTAAATGGCAGTAACTTCTCCAGGCACAAACCCGTTAAAGATGGACTGAGGCAAAGTGGGTAACTGTGTTGGTTTGGAAATTATTAACACCTCCACCTGGCTTGTTATCAGCACAAATGTTTATCACATCTGGGAAGGCTCCATTAATGCTGAGTGATCTATTCAGATTTTGAGGCAACACTGTGGTGGAAATCACCATTTGGGATCGATATTATACAAAAGAGTTGCATTTAACAATAGGTTATGATTCTAGATGGTGGCATTTTCAGGGAAGATCTTTCACAATACTGCCTGACAATGCCAAACCACATCTTGCATATGCTGACAATGGCATAACTCTGTAGTAGACGGGCCCACATGCTAAACTAACCTATCTGTAGTCCTGACTTGTCATCCATTAAAAAAGATTTGGCACATTATGACAAAAAAATTAAGACAGGTGACCTTGACCTGTTGAGTAACTGAAGTCTTACATCAGGCAAGCATAGGGTAATACATAAAATGATCATATATTTTTCATGAGCCATAAAAGATTGATATATTTTCTTTGTTCTAATTTTTTAATTGGATATTGGCTTTGAATGGTTCGCAAACCATCAAATTCTGTTTTTAGCAACATTTTATACAATGTTCCAACTTGTTTGGGAGTGGGGTTGTGTAATTTGTTTTATAAATATCCAATATTGACCTATTTATTAGTTCACATAAACAGTTCAGTATTGCTGTGGTGTCAGAAGATCAGTTAAACTCAAGGAGTCTATGTTTTATCTCACAGTTACATCTTTAGATGACCTGTTCAAGGTTCACTTTTCAGTCTTCTTTCACTGAGTGGTGAGAAAGAAATGGTTGAACAAAAAGAATATACTAAATAGAGTTTAGGAGTTTGCTGTACCATTTGTCACCAGCAGAGGGAGAGAGCAGGCTCTGTCTGCAGCCATAAAGCGACCAACTGTAGGACATCGATACAGATCTGGAGCCATAAAGAATTAATGACAAACTTTAACTCAGGTGCTTTTAGCTTTAAGGATGATGGGGTGAAACAGGGAGAGGAAAAGGGTTGTTGACTTCATTAAAACTAAAAAATGCTGAGGGTGAAGGTATACTACTTAACCTTTTGGTCTGCCATTATCCCAAACTACATCTCAGCACAGGGTAAATGGACTTCAAGCCAGGGTCAGCCAAAGAAAAAACCCTGAAGATGCAAATGGACAGGAATGAGAGAGATGCAGATCAAGGCAGACATGTGCACACACACCCACCTCTTAGAGCAAATAAGCAGTCTCACTGTACAATATCCTCAGTACATCCATGCATTATTTACTCAAGGATGCTACCAGGACTGAGACGAAGCACTTACAAACAGTCTGCTTGTTCCAAACATCATCAGGTTTCAGGGTTAAAGCTGATTAAACAGTCACATGGAGGAAGAAAACACAAAAGGCCAAGACTTGTTGTCTACCGGAGCACACATTAGTTTGTATCTGCAACTGTACTGAAGTCATAGTATTCTGGGTTATGGGGACAAACTGTTCTGCATGCATGCTGTGCCAAGCTGCAGGGATGCATACATGATATATGAAAACATCTCTTAATGGCTCCACTCAGGCTCTCCTGTGTTGTGTCGCACTTCTTTACATGTTGCCTGTGGGGGCGTTAGCGTCCTCCTGCATGCTAATGATATTCTGTGCTGGCACGCTGCCCATGCCGTGCAGCAGCTGCACCACGTGTGTAACCTGTATCTGCCTGCTTTCATTCACACACCCATTTAAATGACATAATATTGGTGTTATGAGAGTGCAAAGTGTCACACCTCTAATGCATGCCACAGCTGATAAAAGGTGGTGTGTGTC